AGACTGCACCAGAATGGGTCTCTGTGGAGCAGGTGCAGCTCTACAGCCAACAGTGAATGTGGCCGTCGTGCTCGGGTGTTAGCAGGGTGAGGCCCCACGAGGAGTCTGGACGGAGCAGAGGCTCATTCTGCTGGGGCTCCCAACGTGCCCCCCTGGCCCCACCCCCCACACTGTCCTGGTTCCTCACAGCCACAGGACCCTCTGAGCCGTGTTGTAGTTTATTTAGTTCACTCGTTTGCAGCCACAACAGAGATATGGGGTGGGATGTCTCACAAGGTGACTCAAGGGGAGAGGGGGAGGTGCCCAGATGGGGCGGGGGTGTCACTTACAGGTAGGCCGAGTCCCAGAACTGTGAACAGACACTGTCGTGCGTGTGACTGACACCTGCTGCTGTGGACTGCAAGCCTGTGGCCCCAGCCAGGCTGAAACCCAGCTTCAAGGGGACGGCCTAGCAGGTGGGGCTTGGGAGGTGCTGGGGTGCTGAGGGGGCTTCTGTCCACCAGGCGGCGCTCTGACCCCAGACCCTCGGCCTGGCGAGCCGTGAGAAATGCCCTCACAAGCTGCCCTGAAGACGGGCACAGGCGCTGCTGCAGCTGCCCCAGGGGTCAGGATGCTCATAAAACTAGGGAACTGTCTCAAAAGAATAAAACGTTGTGAAGGAATCTCAGGTTTGAGCTGAAATGGCCATGTTTATGCAAACAGATCTGAGTGTTTTATTTTATAGCATTGAATTCAGACAAAAGAAAAACCTATATTTAATGAAATAATGAATTTAATGATGAATTCAAAATCAAAACTTGATTTTGAAACAATTATTTGAATCAGATTGGGTTGGCCAAAAAGTTCATTCGGTTTCCCCAACCGATGGCTCTAGTAGCGCTTAGTTGTCTTAAATTTCACTTGACACTTTTGTTAGATTGTACTGTAACAGCTATTATATCAGGGTGCATTTAAAAAAAATCCAAACTGGTGAGTTTTTGTTTAGCCATTTTAATATTGAAGATGGAAGAAAATATGCAACATTTTTGGCATATTATGTTTTATTACTTCAAGACAGGTAAAAACACAACTGAAATGCAAAAAATTTGCGCAGTATGTGGAGAAGGTGCTGTGACTGATGAACATGTCAGAAGTGGTTTGTGAAGTTTCGTGCTGGAGATTCCTTGCTGGATGATGCTTCACGGTTGGATAGACCAGGTGAAGTTGATAGCAACCCAATCAAGACATTAACTGAGAACAATCAATGTTATACCACCCAGGAGATAGCTGACATACTCAAAATACCCAAAGCAATAGTTATTGACAAAAATGAAAATGTGTCTTTTATTCTACAGAAAAAAAACCAAAAGAACTTTTAGGCCCACCCAAAACAGAAAAGGTGGTCTGTGTGGAGATGAGGGTTAATTCAGGTGAAATTCGTCCACGAGCAAATGATCCGGCTTGAATCTTGAGATAAGTGTGATGATTTACAGCCGATGCTCTACACACGTGCATCTTGTTAATGACGGAGACTATCCCTAAACTGTTGTTTGTGTGAAAGCGAAAATGCTGGTCGTTCCCTCTGCCACTCGACCGCTGCCCTGGGCAGCCCTGGGGACCATGCGGCGACAGGTGAGGGGACTGGGTGGGGGCCTCTGGCTGGCTTTGCTCTGCGGTGACACTGTCCTGCTGTGTGTCCTGTGTCAGCTCGGCCCACTGTGCCCTGGGCGTGCACTGGGTGCATCCACCCTCCCTCCCTGAAGTCTGGAAGCTTCTGCACTCAGCGTGGTTCAGGGGACCTTTCAGTGTGGCCACACTGATTAATTTAGCCTGGAGTCCAGAGACTGGGTCTCCTGGAATGCACAGGGCGGGGCCGGGGGCTCAGGCGGTGCCCAGACGGTTGGGGTCAGGAGTGCTGGGCACTCAGGGCAGGCCTGGCTGCAGGGCAGGCCCACGGGCCGGGCCCCGGCCCCCAGCTGAGACTCGCTCGCCCCCCAGCATCTGATCTCCGTTTGGGACGAGAGGGTGGGAGTGGCCTCCCCTCGCAGCGCCCCTGGGCGTGAGCCGGAACGCGCAGGGACTTCACGCTGCAGCGGCGGTTTTGAGTTCTGTCTGCTTGTGTGTGTGTTTGCTCTGCGTCCCAGCAGCGCCGTGTGCTTGCCAGCTGGCTGTCACCTCTGTTCTCAGGGGGTCTCTGTGGCATCCCCCCCACTTCTCAGGCCCCAATTCCCAGAACCCAATCCAAGCCAATGAGTCACTGTTTCCAGCAGCCGCTCTGCCCACGCTGGATTATTTCTGTGTTGTGTGAGGTGGTTGCCTAGGAGGCTTTTATTTTCAGTAACCACAGGTCTTGTTGTTTCTTGGTTTCATGGATGGTAAAAAAGACAGCAGTTTTGGATTATATGTAGCAGAATCGCCTTCCAAACCCCCAGGACCGTCATCCCGGGGAAAGCCTTCCTGTGAAACTCCACAGAGGAGACTTTCCACAGACGTGACGACGCTGCTGGGACGTGGGGCTGTTCGCGGGGACGTTTCATAGCTGAACCCCACACCCAGGGCCCGCCGTCTCCCAAACGTGAAAACCCTCTGGCCAGGGACGACGGTTCACCGATGGCGAACGTTGGGTCGAACCCATGAAACAGCCGGGTTTTGCGGGTCGGAAATGGTGGATGTCGGCAGTTCTGTTGGGTCTGACCTAATAAAAGGCTCGAAATGATCGACGTCACGCACAGGCAAGGATGGTGTGTTTGCACATTATCGTGCTTTAGAACCTTCTTGGCTTTAGTTTTGAATACGGGCCGTGTCAGTAACTAGCACCCCACACAACAGCTTTACGAGGTTGCCAGTTGTTTTAGGTGTACAGTGTCTTGAGACTCAAGTCTTGAGACTCAACGCTCTCGGTTTCTGAATCCATCCTTTTCTGTTCCAGTTTTAAAGCTGGCGATAGGTATGGCACTTCTGTGCATGGTACGGCTGGCGGTTAGACGGGATGCCGTCCGCAGGCTGCTCGTTCCTCTGGCCTTGAAAACAAGGCAGGTCCTCCCCCTTTCCTCCTCCTTCCCATGTTCTTGACCGTGCCAGCGAGACGGTTAGTTTTGCGTGTGCACTCGACTGGGACACACATGCTGAGAAGGGCGCAAGCCTCGTTCTGGGCACGTGGGGGGCTGTTTACACACAAACCTGACATTTGAGGAGGCGGTGAGCGGAGTCAGCCGAGTGCCCTCCCTAACGCTGGTGGGCCTTGTCCAACCAGTGGAAGGCCGCGACAGGGCAAGCTGCCCCTCCCCCGGCAAGAGGGCTTCTGCCCGCCGGGCTGCTTTGAGCTGGAAGCCCAGCTGGTCTCTGCTGCCCTTAGGCCTGGGCTGAAACGGCGGCTCCTGGGTCTCCGTCCGCGGGCTGTGGCCCTGGGACTTGCCAGCCTCCATCAACACACGGCCTGAGTCCTCGTAATGAATCTCTCCACAGGCACACATCCCATTGGTCTATTTCTCTAGAAACCCTGACTAATACAAGCAGGAGCTCAAACGTCACAGGAGGAAGTTACAAAGGGTCCGGGTCCTTCGGAGTCTGGTTGCTTTGGCCCAAGGCGTCAGCGCAGGGGTCCCAGCGCCGGCGTCCCCGAGCCCGCAGCACGTGCGCGGGCGCTGCACTCGGACTCGGCTGCTCTCCCTGTTGCCGTGGGAACACAGGACCAGCGTGGCAGAACCTTACCGTTTTTCAAATGAATTAAGCCAGAAATCCTGACTTTTATATGAAGTATCCAATGTTTAAATGTTGGTGGAATTTAAGGAAAAAAGCTCAGGCCATGTTAGCGACGTGCCGGACGTGCGTGACTCTGCCCGAGAGCTGCAGGGCTGCGACGCGGCGGGGGCGGGGCGGGGGCGGGGCCGCCCCGCGGCAGCAGCTCCCGCGGAGGCTCGTCTCTGGGCCCCGCCCGCTGGGCAGGAGGGGCGCGGGGACAGGACAGGACACCTGCCGCCCTGTGGGCTGGGGGGGTGGCAGGGGGGGCCGAGACCGCCCGCACTGCGCACACGGGGTCCGCACGTGGATGTTCGTCGTGATCTTTCCTCACGTCCCCACCTTCCCTGATGGCGCAGACCCTGAGGACGGGGAAACGGTCCTGGAAGCCCCAGCATTTCACTGAATGGAACCGTTCGCAGTCTGTGCTCCTTAGGTTTGCCCTTTTAGTCTACGTAACTTTCATTTCTGCAGTTTCCACCGTTGGCGGGAGGACTGGCTGGCTCCGTGTCTCTCCTTCCTTCCCGCGGACACAGGTCACAGGGTCTGGCCCCAGCAGCACGGGGACCCTGCACAGAGGGCAGCTCACAGCACGGCCGTGCCACCGTCCCCTGGACGGGATCGGGGGCCTCAGTGACAGTCACAGCGGTGACCGCTCAGAACTGTCCGACAAGGGCGGCCGGTGTCCTGCACCCCGGCCCCCAATCCTCCGGGCGTCCTCGTCCTGATGCCGTTTTCCTCTCCCGCCCACGGAAACGGAGACTCCGAGGGCGAGGGCGCGCTCAGTGTCAGGCGCGGTGGCAGTCCTGGGGCCCGTTGCCAGCACAGCCGCCGGCCCGGGCAGGGCCCGCACACGGCTGAGGCACAAACACAGCTCTGGCCCCGGACGCCCCGTGCTCCTGGGCAGCGGCGGTGCCGTGAGGACGTGGCTGGCGGGAGAGGGGCTCGCAGGCCTTCCCGAGGGCGGGAGAGCCTGAACTCCGCAGGGCGGGCAGGGCCGGGTGCGAGAAGGGAAGAAGGTCCGGAAGGAACAGAGATGCGCGTGGCTTCGGGGACGTGGAGGCGGCCGAGGGCGCAGACACCTGCGGCCACAGCGGCGCCGGGTCCGATTCGGGTCACCTCGGACCCTGCGGACCTGAGCAGGGTGGTGGGGGGGGGCGTCTTTAACTGCTTGGCTTCCGTAAGTTTTGTCCACCCAGCGAATTCAACTGTGTCCCCCCCACGGACAAGCCCGTGGCCTCGGCTGTAAACGCCTGCTCCTGAGAAAGGAGGCAGAAGCACCGTCAGCAGAAATCACAAATTTATTAACTCTTAAATATATCAATCGGTCATTTACCATTATGGCAAGAAATATGTACAGTGTCCCATGGTAAACTGCAGTGTTTCACATGACGGGGGGCGGACGTGGGCCCCGCCGTGCAGAGCCAGCCGCGGGGCCGGCCCCTGGGCGTGGGGGCGGCGGGTCCACGGCGGCCCCCCCGCACGACATGCTCGGTTCGGGGTGTCAGACGACCACGGGGGCCTATGGTTTACACACAGGTGTGCCACGTGCAGCCGTGCACAGAAAGAGAGATCAACAAGGAGAACGGAGGCTGTTACTTCACAGATTTCATTGGCAGGTTAACATGGCTCAATACATTTACTGTGTATGTTTAGTTTAAATATATATTGTCTTAAATCATGTAGTAATTACCAGAAAAGCGTTAGTCCGTCTACCACACATCCACTAGCAAGGGAACCGAGGTGAGGCGCTGTGAACGCAGGAGGTGGGGGGGGAGGGCGGGGCCGCGGGGTCGTCTCTGTGGGAAGCGCAGGCGTGGGGGGGGGGCGCGTCCCCGAGGGCCGCGTGGACCCCGAGCGACGAGGGGTGAGACACAGAGCCCAGCACTCCCCGTCACCCGTGGGACTGGGGACCCTAACTCCGTGCAGGGGCGTGGTGGTGCTCCGACAGGAGGAGATGCTGAGAAGCACACGTCACAACAGTCGAGTGCAAACACGGGTGAGGGTGGAAGCGCTTGTGGCCTCTCTGACTTCCGGACAGCAGCCACAGGGGGGCGCCCTGCCCCTGCTGCCCGCGGCACAGACCCTGTCACGGGTCCCCCCGGGTCCCCGAGTGCCAGCTGGAGCCCCACCGGGGACAGCCTGTGCCGTCCCAGTGGAGCTGCTGGGGGCCCAAGGGGGTCCAGCCGCAGGCCCGTGGCCGCCGCACCCTCCCCCTCCCCGCCGGACGGGAGAAGGCGGGGGGGGGGGGCGGGGGGGGCGGCCAGAGAAGAACGGGGTGAAATGGGAAAGCAGCAGACTTGAGAAGCACAGAACTCAGTCCCACGAGTCCCCCGGCACGGAGACAGCACCCGGCAAGTGACCCAGCAGGGGCGTGACGGGGGCTTCCCGCTGCGGTCTGACCAGAGCGACGGGACTCTGGGGGCCGCCGTCCGCCCCGAGGCCAGCAGCAGTGCGCTCAGGCAGAACTCCACCTCAGCCGGGGTCTCGCCGGGAAACAGGACGTGCTGCTGCCCTTTTTGTTAAACAAGCCAACACGGATCAGTAGCGAAGAGTTTTTAAAAATTTACATTTTTCTTACAAGCCGTCCTCGTGAGAACAGCCGTGGGGGTCTGTCCAATCTTGGCATCGACAGAAGCGACGAGCAGGCTGGAGGGCGGGGGTCCGGGCGGCCCCTGCGGTCTGCACGGCGCCCGCGGCGAGGCGTGGACGCGGACGGGAGGGTGACGGCGAGGCGACACGCGTGTCCCACAGGCCCCACGTCCGGCCCCCACGCCTCACGCACGCGAGCAGGCAGGGGTGTCCAGGGGCCCGGAGACACGACGCCGGCATGGCACTGCGGACGCTCAGCTGCGGACAGAGGGGCGGAGACACGGGTTAGACGAGCGGCCACCGCTGAGCCCGGCTGCGGCCTCGCGAGCTGGCAGAGCGCGGGGTGAGAACGGCTGGGCGCGCTCGGCCGGCGACCGCCGACAGGCAAACGCCGTGTTGAAGGGAGACGGTGGGGACACGGGGCCGCATCCCCCCAGCGCTGAGCTGCCGGCGGGCAGGGGCCAGGGTTCACACACAGTGTGGCCGCGAGCCCAGCCACACGTGGGAGCCCAGGCTCGTGACGTCCACCAGCAAGTTCACAGTGGACATTGTCACTTGGACAGAGCTCAAGGTGAGCCCTGGCGGGAAGGTGCACGACAGAGCCACACAGCCCTGAGCCTCCCGCCTGGAGAAGCAGCAGACCGGCACCGGCACGGGCGTGCACCTGACCTCGGCCAGCGCTCAGCTGTCCTCTGCAGCTGCCCACTGGGGAGCTCGAGGTCTCGGGCAGATGAAGGGACAGGCCGGCCTTGGCCAGAGCGTGTCGGGAACGGGAGGACGTGGGGGAGCCCCAGGGCCCGGCCCCAGCGAGGCCTGGACGGCCAGAGCTGCCTACACGGCCTGGCGGCCGCAGGGCAGGGACACCTGTGCAGACTGAGCGCCGCGGCTGGGAGCCGGGGGCAGCCTGGAGCCCGTGTGGGGGCAGCCGCGCTGCTGGACGGACGGCACTGCGTCAGCCCGGAGCTGACACAAGGGTGCTGGGAGTTCAAAGACCCGTCCTGGTTCCCAGTGACTGCGAGGTGGGAGGAAACACCCTCGGGGGGGGGGAGAGGAACAGCACACAGCTCTCCGGTCACCCGCCCCCCCACCCCAGGCACCAGGGACAGGGTGCCGCTCCCAGGACCATGGAGAAATGGGTTCCTGCCCCAGAAAGGTGCTTGCTGGCAGGCCGTCGCTGCCACCAGGGACACGGGGTGCCACCAGACACACAGGGGGCGACCCGGGGGGGGAGAAGCCCCACTCAGCCTCCATGGCACGGGGGCTGCACCCCAGGGACCCGCGGGTGCTGTTGGGCCGCCACCCGACTGCATTAACGGGCCACCTGTCCTGCACCTCCCTGGGGTGGCACGGTCCAGTCCATGTGGACCGTTGAGGCCACGGAGCTGGGAGACCTGGACAGCTCTCTGGAGTGAGCTGAAGGGCCACTGTGGGACCTTCACCGCCCCCACCCCAGATGTCAAGGGGCGAGCCTTGTGGGGAAACCAGGGTGGGGGCAGCAGGGGCCACACCTGCCCCGAGAGAATCACCCTCTTGTTCCTCATCAACTGCAGCCCCAGGGTCCCCCCCGGCCCAGCAGTGGGGACAGGACCCCCTGCCACCGCCACACCCAGCGCCATGCCTCCTAGCCTCCCCTGCCTGGCCTGTCCCCCTGCCTCCGTCTGCCTCCTCGGTCGGGAGTGGCTCCGGGGTCCTCGGCGCCCACGAGCCGCACGGCTGCACGCGCTCTGCGCCCCCCCCCCCGCCGCTCTCCCCACCCCACCCCACCCCGAGGTGACTGAGACTGCCACACTCGTCCCCTCTGGGTCGGGAGCCGAGGTGCTTTCTGGACCAGGGAGCAGGCCCCCTGCCCTGCGGCCGCAGTCAGCAGCGCGTGTGGAGTGCACGCCCGCCCGGCGGCTGCCCGGCGGAGGGGTCAGGGACAGACCCGACCCCGCACTTCCCGTGCTGCTGCGTGTCACCCGCTTCTCCCGACGCCCGGGGCTGAGGCCGGGGGTCCCCTGGGACCGGGGACTCCTGGCGCTGCGCTGACCGTGTCAGAAACCCCCTCCTTCTTCCCCCCCCCGCTGCGGGCGCGACAGTGAAGCCGCCCCCTGCCCCGATCCGCGGACTCAGCCCCGAGGGGCCTGGCCAGGTCGGGCCCGAGAGATCCCGTCCGGACCCACTTGCCGCTCTCGGTGGCTTCAGCCCACGGGGTGGGGGTGGGGGGCTGCCCAGAGAGCCACAGGCCACCCTGGCTGGGCGTCTGCTCCCGCCAGCGTGAGCGAGCGAGCGGGTGGGTGCGCCACGCTGTGCGCGGGGCCGAGGGGACACCTACTTGGTGGGCACCGTGGGCGACCCCGAGCGATGGAAGTGCACGTTCTGCCACTTGCCGTCCCGGCGGTGCCACACGCGGGTCTCCTCGGACTGCATGGTCCTGGGCAGGCCGCCGCCGTCCAGGTACTGGGTGAGCCGCACGTAGGCGATGCAGGCGGCGTCCTCGCCCACCAGGTGCACGTGGGGGTTCAGGATGATGGTGTGCACCGGCTTGCTGCTCTTGGACAGGGCTGCGGGGAGCAGAGCAGCAGGACTGGACACAGCACCCCCCCGCCCCCCCGGCGGCTCGTCTGCAGCCTCCCCCGTGCCTCCCCGGGGTGCGCTCAGCCACTGCTCTTCGTGCAAAATCAGGTGGTGTTTCAAAACACACCGACGCCTTTAACCCCCTCAATACTTTTCAGTTTCAAATACCAAAAATCCTCACTGTGTAAAGGAGCCAAAGGATAAGCAAACTGGGGAGAAATTCAAAGAGAACGTAGAAAAGGCACGTTATTAAATTTAGAGTAAACATACCATTTTCAAAGTAGAATCGGTGAAAGTCCATTCCTTCCACTAAATTGCCCAAAGCCTCAGGTTCGAAAGCAGTAAGGCCTGGGTCACAGATTTTTCTGTGGGAAAAACCAAATATGATCAATAACACGAGTGTGTGGATTGTTCACACGCATCCATTCCGGCTTGTCTGACATTCGGCGAGGAAAACAGTCTCTAAAAAACATGAGAAACATACGATTTCTGCGGCGGGCCTTGGCGAGGTGGGCGGAGGAGCGGACCCTGAACCGGCCTTTTCCGGACAACTGCGCTGTTACCGCCACGGCGAGCGCCCTGGGCCCTCCCCGGTTCGTCTCACTCTCGGCTGAAGTTGGTCAGTGTTTAGACGCTGCCCGAGGCCAGGCCCTCTCCAGACCCCGCAGAGCCGACCGGGGCCCGACACCCAGCACTTTCGGGGGGACTGCCGGCACCTCCACAGCCGAGACCCCCGTCCGCGCCTCAGCTGGCCAGGGGGCAGACCCACGTCCTGCACTTCCTGGCGACGGCCACACACTCAACTACCTTGTGGCGGAAGTTTAACTTTTAAAACAAAACTAACAAAGAAATACACCATTTTAAATATGTCTACAGAGAGAGCCAATGGGTTTTCTTTGCATACGTGTGTGTTCAGCAAAGGCTCGTTAAAGCCCCGTCTCACGGCTGACGTCCCTGGAAACAAACGACTGCAGCACCCCAGCTGACCCCGTTCCGGGACTAAACGCCTGCGGACCAGGAGACCCGAGCCGGAGGCGGGTCCGGGAAAGGAAGGAGGCATCGCTGGGTCTTCACGGGGCGACCCGGCGCGCGCACAGCCCTGGGCCGGCGCGGGGCCCTCGCGGGAAGAGGGCGGCCCCTCGGGGCAGGGACGCCCCGGGCTGGCGGAGGGGGAGCCCACCACTGGGCGGGCGGGCGGACGAGCGCGGATGGGAGGGCTCCACTCTGCCGGCTCCGCCTCGGGATCCCGTGTGGGAACCCCTCTCTGGGAGGGGACTTTCCAGCTGCCCAACAGGAACAGTTCCCAAAACGCTAACTCACTGGCTCACAGAACACGGGACTGAGGTTTCGTAGAACACTTTAAAAGCAGAACACACTTTTACAACAGATCACAGTGGCTACTCTGCGTGGCAAAGAAAGCCTCAAAGGGGCGTTGGGGGTGGGAGGGGGCTTTAACCTTCGCCTCAGACTTTCCGGGGGCCGCTGCTTTTAAGCTCAAGGTCAAATACACACAACCTCCTTCTAGGGGGCGGGCTGGGAAAACGGCGACCCTGCGGCGGCAGGCGCCGCCCCGGCCGGGCCGGGCCGGGCCTCCTCTGCGAACGCGGCGCTGGCTGTCACGCGCTGCTGCGCCGGGTACGGTCCTCCCCGTCCACCTCCCACCGGCCGCCGGGGAACCGCCGCGCTAGGTGCAGCTTTCCGCCTGACCAGCAGGCGGCAGTATATGGGAAAACCCGTTCGCTGGCTCTCCTTCGCGCATGCGCACCCCATCCTGTGACAGGCTCCGCCCCGGCGAGCGGCGGGTCCCAAGGACGCACGTGGCCTGTGGGCGCGTCTGCCCTGAGCAGGGGTCTCGGACCCAGCGGCTGGCAGAGCTGCCCGGCCCCTGCCCCGGGGGCTCCCGGGGCCGGCTGCACTCCATCGGGCCAGACCACAGGCTGGGGAGTCGGTGAGCTGAGGGAGTCCCAGGGAACTGCGCCATTTAACACACTCCCCTTTCGGCTCCGGGAGGACACGGCCGCCGCTTTCGCCCGGCTGCCCCACCAACAGAACGCGCCTGTGCCAGTCCTCGGGGACGCCACTGCAAACGGAGCTTTAAAGGAAAACCCTGTTCCCGAGTCTGCAGAGTCGCCTGGTGTGACAGAGCCACGCCAGCGACGCGGTCCGGGGCGCCTCGCGCCCGGGCCCTCCCACCGTCCCAGCCTCCACGCCGCGGGCCCTCGCGCCCGTGCGGCTCTAACCCGAGGGGCGGTCCTGCGCTCGGCCGGCTGCGCACGGCTTCTCTCGCCCACGTTCCACCCGAGGCTGTTTGTGGCTGAGGGTGGAGGCAATCCCTTCTTCTTAAAACGCGGAAAGAAGCAGGTGAAGACCCCAACTGTTCTCCTCAAGGCGCCGTCTGCTTCCCCTTTTCCTCCCTCACAGTGACCGGGACACAGGCAGCGTTTCCAAGTGTCCCGACAGGAGCGCTGCCTCGGCGCATGCCTCCGCTCACCCTCTGTCCGCGGTGCAGACGCAGAGCCCACGGCCACACTGCATTTCGGCCAGTGGAGTTAGAGGGTGAAAGCCACAGGACCCCGATGACATGCGGCTCCTCGCCCCGCCCCCCACTTTCCAGTGGGGGCCCTGGCGCAGGCACGAGCTCCTAAGGGCCCCGCACCGTCTCCCAGTCTCCTTTCCGCGGGCGGCCTGGCCACCCTGGCTTCTCCCCGCGACGCCCCATCCTCCGCTCTGAAGCTCAGAGACCAGCCCCACCCCCTGCACTCCCAGCCTTTGCTCGGGGTTGGGGAGGGGGGGTCAGCGACGGGCACAGGGAGGCTGAGCCTGACTCCATGGCTGCCGATGGGGATGCTGCGCCCTCTCCCCGCTGCAGCCGGGCAGCGTGGCGAGGACGGTCCCTGAGCGGGCGTGTCCTCTCCGAGGGCTTCCTGCCCCCGTCTCTGCACAGAGGCACGGTGGTCACACTGCTGTGCACTGAGAAACCAGCCCCAGTCCTGCCCACAGGCCCCCAGCTCGCTGACTTCTCGAATACATGTATTTTTCTCCTGGGACCCTTAAGTCCTTTATGTCTTGAAATAAAGCTCCCGCTGACACATCAGGCCCGGGGTCAAACACACACACGAACCCCGGGCAGCAGAGAAGGCGTTCCCGTGGAAACACCGCCATGGGCGCAGGGCACGGTCACGGGTGAGTACTCACGTGTACGCTTCGAAGTCCCCGTTGTTGATGGCTTCGATCAGCTGCTCGGTGACTTTGATGATCTCCTGCTTCCGGGCTGAAGGCAAAGGCACAGAATTAGTGCGGGCAGAGGACACAGCCAGGAACAACATCAGGCAACGACACTCCCCTGACGGCGGGGGGTGGCGGCGTCTGCCGGCCCCCGTGGGAGCGGCCGCCGCTCCTCCACCTCCTCGTGCTCACAGCTTCCTGAGCCTGTGGGACTCGCACCGCCCGGGGCCGGCCGAGGACCCAGGGCAATGTGCGTCCGAGAGGCCCACGCCCTGCTGCGTGCCGGAGGCCAGCCGCCCGCAGGCCCAGGCTCTGTGGTTATTCGGTGCCGATCCCCCGCAGCACCAACTCTGTGCATCTGAGTGTCGCACTTCCCACTGCGCATCCCACCGGCCCCGAGAGGACGCCCACCCGGCACGGCTCAGCGGCCTCCAGGGAACCGTCCGCACAGCTGGGCGCACGGCTGAGCCCCGCCTCAGCCCACACCGCAGCCCCTGCCGCCGCCACCACGGCTCAGGGCCCACCTGCGGGGTGCCCTCTTCTCCGGCCGCACTGCCCACGCGATGCCCTGCGGCCCCGGCCGCTGCTGCGTTGAGCCAGGTGACCGCCTGCTTAACCTGCCCGCCAACTGCCCATCTTCCTCCCTAACGCAGAAGCTCCTGGTGGGCAGGAAATGCGTTATTTCTTCACACGCTCTGAACAGTTTTATCTGACGTGTTTAATCAAATGAGTGCTAAATAACTCTGTCACTTTCATCAGTTGATGTCAATAACCTGTTCTTGATTTCAGAGTGCTGTTCTCTTATTAATGAAATTGATGGGTGAAATACTTTTAAAGTTATAGGTCACTGAACTTTGTCTGAAGAACCCTGGGATACTTTCTCAAGTCGCTGGTGGTAACCTGGGGAGTCAGGAGGGCAGCTCACCTCATCTTGCCAGAGGAGTTCAAGTCTGGCTTGACTTCATTATTGATTAAAGGCAACCAGCTTGCACTCTCCGTGAACCTGATCTTCATTAAGCAGATTTTTCACCCCAGACTGAAACGTTTACACTCACTGTCCGGTCTCCAGGGCGCCTGGGGCAGGGCACCCCTCGTTCAAAGTAAATGTCCGTAAAAGCCTAATCTAACGCCCCAACTTCACCCGAGACCACTGTGTGCAGTCACGGCATCCACATCAAGGTCGCTGCGAGGTCATGGTTGACAGTGTGAGAAAAGCACCACGTGGGTTAGAGCAGAGGACGCCAGAGACGGGCTCCTCAGCTGCCCCCTTGCTCACTGCTGTCGAGACGGCCGCACGGACCCCCAGGGCCTGTCTGGGACCAGGGCTGCCGGCACACTCTGCCCTGACAGACGGGGTGGTCAGTGGTTCTCTGTGTAGCCTCTGGAGTGACGGCCGGCCCAGTCCCAGGGCACAGAGGACGCTGTGCAGAGTGAGACCAGGAGAGCGGGACACCCCAACTGCCCCCTCGTGTCTGGTCCCATTTAAGTTGAACGGGTGACTGACGTTGCTATGGCAACAGAGGAACCCTCCCACTTGGGGAGAACACAGCATCGACCATTAGAGAGAACGAGAAGGAAAGGCGAACATCAGGCCGTAGGTCGCTGCCTGCCGAGGGCCCCGCAGGTTCCGGGTCCCCCCCACCCCCGGAAACGGGGCCCCCGGCCCGCACGAGGGCAATGCCCCCCGGCCGGCAGCCCTGGTGCTGAGACAGAGCCCAGCACCACCTGGGACTCCCTCGCCAGGCTCTCCGGTCCTGGGGACCCTGCCCCTCTCTGCTGGGCACACTGGTGCCTGTCCTCCCCGGGCCCCAGCCCCGGCCTGAGCCTGCCCGGCTGCCTGGCATTAGGACCCGGCATTAGGACCCGGGGAGCCCGGCATCAGTACCTCCTCCCCTTGGACACCAGGGCCACTCGGGTGCGCGGGCGGAACCCTCCGCCACCTCTCCTCCCGCCCCTCCCGCAGGCTACCGTGCATCTCTCATCCTCTTTGGACTGTGTCTTCCTCTCCCGTTATCTGCTCCCAGAAGTCCCGGCCCACCGCCCCGCCCCCTGGCCCCCACAACCCCCTGCCCCCGGCGTGCCCTGCTGAGTGCCCTGTCCGAGTCACGCCTCGGCCTTCCTCTCACTGCTCCTGCCCGGAACCCCCCTCCTGAGGAGAGCCCTTCAGGCTCGGCGCCCCCCCGAGCTGCAGGCGCAGCCCCCTGGTGTCCCTGCAGCTTCCTTCCTGCTGCAGGAGCAGCCCCGGGACGCCCCCTCAGGCGGAACCTGTGCGGGAACCCCGAGCGGCCCTGCAGGCGGCTGCTCCTCGGGGATCCGGGGAGAGACGCCGCTGCGCCCTGTGTGCACGCAACGCCCCGATGGTCGCCCACCGCCCACCCACAGCCAGCACAGCCTCCTCCCCGCCGGCCCCACGGTCCCCCACCACTCCGGTCCGCAGACAGTGCAGACCCCCCACAGCGCCCCGCCTCTCCGCCCCGCCCCGCCCCCCCCCCAACCTGCTGCACACGGCGCCCGTCAGCCCCAGGGCCTGCCCCTTTCCGGGTGGCACGGGCCTCACGGGCCCTGGCATTCGGGGGACTGCCGGCCTCACAGGCTCCTGCTTCACCGCAGGACGCTCAGGCACCTGACCGGGACCGGACCGTCCCCTGCCTTCAGCACCCAGGGCCGAGTGCGCCCCAGGGACCTCAGTGCCTGGGCTGAGTGCGCCCTGGGGAGCACCCGCTAAATGCCAACCACCGGGGAGGGCGACCAGGCCGGGCGGCAGGGCTGTGGCCACGCTTCCTGAGAGGCCCCGTGGCTCCTGCCCGTCTCAGAGCAGCAGCAGGACCCCCGGGGGCGAGGCCACAGTGCCGCCGGCCGGAGGGGGCCCAGTGCGATGCCGGCCCAGGTCGGGGGAGACGAGCCGGGCGCGCCGAGTCCCCTGTGACCGGACTTCTTTTCCACAGAGCCCGTGCGGGGAAGGACCATGCGGGGAAGAGCCACCAGCTAACACCGGCTTCCCCGGGGGAGCCCGGTGGGTCTGGGACGGGACTGGCCGTCACCATGACGACGCCAGCAGAGCGTCGCACCCCGAGCTCCCCCGCAACCCACGGAGGCACCTGCCGAGGGTCCAGGCTGCACAACAGACGACAACTGAAACGGCGGTTGAGCTTTTTGGGTGTGAACCCGGAGTTCCAGGTCACTTCCGCGTTTCTCCGAGTTCTCGGGGACCTGGCGGTCAGTGACGTGGAGGGCAGAGGCAGGGTGACGTGCCCGGTCACCCGGCAAACTCAGGCGCTGGGCCAGGCTCCAGCTTTCTCTGGCTCAGGGCTGCCGGCTGTCCAGCTCGCTGACCCACGTCCTCTCCGGCCCGTGGAGCCTCCTCCCACGTTTTGAAACCGTGAACTTAATGAAGCACCATGCAGGCTGGCTGACGACTGAATCACCGGGCCCTGGCTGTGACTGATGACTACACCGATGTCACAGAGGCGGTGTCCTGTGGTGTTCCAGTCTTCCCAGGCTGCCACTCACACACACAACTCCAGAGACGGTTGCCGTCTCAGGCAAGTACACACACTGGGGCCACTTCCACGCACCTGGCGGCTGCACAGAGAGAGCTGCCTGTCAGCCTGGCTGCGTTCGGAGTGTCCTGTGCCGTGAGCGGCTGGCTTCTCTATTTATTTCACTGAGTTGACAAATTAGTTAACATTTCAGAGAGTAATTTCCATTATTTTGGCTTTTAAAATCAAACCTGTCAAAGATTCTGGATGGAGTTGACTGGTTTAATAATCTGTAACATTTTATTTAAATACCAGACCTGGAAATTACCAAATTTCTACTCAAGAATGGCTTCAGGAAATGACTGTAGAGCTCACTTTATGCAGAAGTCGCCTGTTCGATAAGCCCTCCAGATAGAAAGAAATTAAACTGTTCAAACCACTTTTAACTTTGCTCCTACAGGGCCAGACGTCTGGGGAAGGCCGGGGCAGGCCCCACCACAGAGGCCCGAGGGGCCGAGGGGCCGAGGGGCTGCCGGGGTGGCCGGGAAGCCGCCTCCAGGCCTCTGGGCGCTGGACGAGGCGCACACCCGCCCCGCACACCCTGGCCAGGCCCCTGGCGGTGGCCGCAGCGCCGGCCCTCCTCTAGCAGTTGGGGCGCACGCTGGGTTCCCCGTGGGGGCCTCTCACTGTCCTCGGCGACTGGAGGAGAGTTGGCCACCTCACGGCAACCGGGCGACGGGCAGGGGTCCGCGGCCCTCTGTGCTTCCTGAGGGGCCCCCTGTGTCCCTGGCCTGAGGCCTTCCAGGGTCCTTGCTCTGCAGCACGGTCTCACTGACGCCCCCCCAGAGCCACAGCCCACGGCCACCCCGCCGGGCAAACCGGCTCTCCGGCTCTCCGGGGACGCCTCACGAGCTGCTGGTCACTTCTCTGCGTCTGTTTCACACTTTCCCTTTCCTCCTCCTGCTCTAGACACCCCTGCGGCCACTGTGCTCGGACCGGCTCGGAGACCAGCGGCGTGCAGACACTGTAGTTACTACAGTGAGTCATCAACCGGGAACAGAAGTGCACACCAGGGCCGCAAGCGAACCCCTCTAAGACAGCCCTGACCGGAGAGCAGGGTGTGAGGGGGCGCCTTCCGTGGGGCGTGCGGCAGGAGCGGCGGCGGCAGGGACACTGACACAGCTGAAGGACCTGGGCTTCAGCACCCAGTGGGGCCGAGCACGCATCAGGAGAGCACGTGAGGAAAACGCCGCCCAGTGCCAGTCCCCGCGGCACCCGTGGGACAGCCCTGGACGGGACCGGGTGGCACTGGACAGCCCCAGACAGCACCGGACGGCCCCACATAGCACCGGACGGCCCCGGCAGCTACAGCCGGCCGCTGGACTCCACCCTCCACCCGGAGGGAAGAGGCACTGCCGTCTAGGACGTGCCAGGAACGAACACGACGCGCAGACGCACCGCGGCCTCTCCGGACAGACACAGCGACGAGCTGGTGTGATGCGTCCAAACTGCCACCAATGGATTCAAGTCACAATGTGCTTGACCCTCCCCCCCGCCGTCTGTAGTTTTAACGCAGAAGAGAACGTCGTGTAAAAAAACCCCGACGAAACCCACAGGCAAAATCAAGACACCAGCACAACGCGAGCAAGGAAATGCGCGCGTGCCGCAGGCGGCCCCGTCCCTCAGTGCGCGAGCGGCCCGACACGCGCACGCCGCCCCGACACGCGGGGGGCCGGCGGCCTCACGCACCTTTCACGTCCTCGTCCTCGATCGTGGTGTTGGAGCTCTCCGTGGACTCCTGCCGAGAGGAAACACACGGTCAGTGGCGAACCAGGAACAGCGCGGCTCCTTCTGTTCTTACAAATCTGGCGCGTGACGCTCACATCATGCAGAACTCCTCAGCAGGCCGTGTGCGCACCGACATGCAAGGGGCCGAGTCCCCGTGGATCTGCCAGAGACGAGGGCCACGTGCTGCAGACACGGGGTGGGGGGGGTGGCGGCGGCTCTGGCTGCCTGAGCCCCGAAGCAGCGCAGACCCGGGGGACCCGCAGGTGCAGCTCCGCTGGAGCTCGGCCTGAGGGCGTGCTGGTGACAGGGCGCCGGAGGGTGTGCGTCTCCGTGTACTCAGGAGAAACCGCCTGCCTCGAGGAGCGGGAGAGTTGGAGCCCCCAAAGAGCAGGGTCTGCACTCTCTCTCTGAGCAGCCAACGGCCCCTTCTCTGGGCGGGGGGGCCCTCCGGCTCCCCACGGCCGCCTGCGGCCCTGCTCACACAGAGGGGAAGCAGGGCCCAGGGCTGCCCCCGGGGAAGCAGGGAAGCGAGGGGCTGAGACACAGGACGCATCTCCGGAGCGTCTGCGTCCGCGACTGCGAGCAGCACAGCGGGGTTAAGGAGTCCTTCGCTCTCAAGGACAGTCAGGGCTTTTCACTCATTTATTTCCGAGTCAGAACGGGCTGGTCGGAAACCCGTCCCCTCGACGGGAAGGCAAGGGGCCCCCTCGGACGACCACCGCAAGGTCAGGACGCACACCTGGGAGGGCTCTGTCACCAGCAGCACCCAGACTCGCTCCTGGAAATGGGTCTGATGAACTCTTCCACTAATGATGCATTTTCTAGCAACGAAATTCTGTTAACATTCATAAGACACAATTTTCTACTTTGAGTGATTGAAGGCTACAGACAGAAAGCTGGAAACAGCCTTCCAGTCCATAACTGTGTGCTCAGTGACAACGAACAGGCTCTGCACAACGACGCAGATGCCAGTCGGTGTCCTTCCGGAGACTCGACACTCAGAAAAATAGTCGAGTTGTCCCTGTCCCGTCGAGTGCTTGAGCCCAAGGAACAAAACACACGTGTGCCCGGAGTCTCCCTCCACACAAGACCAGGGTCTCCATGCACGTAACACGGCCCAGAGCGCACACGCCAACTCGCGACGAAGCGGACAGGCACTTACGGACAGACTGGCTCCCGCCAGCGGGCGCCTCGTGCGGCAGCTCCCACGGGGAGAGCTGCGGCCCCCGGGGGTCCCCGGCCGTGCGCCCGGGCCGCCTGGCTCGCCCACAGGGCGGGGTGTGCTCCTGGGGGCGGCCCCTCACTAGCTCACGTCTTCAGGGGCCGAGACCAGTGACTCCCAACCGGCATGCGCAGGGATTTGTAAGACATGCAGCACCCAACCTCCTTTCCTTCAGATCGTCAGAAATAAAACCTGACAAGGGCCAACACAATAGCAGCCATCTAGGGTGAACGAATCAAAATCATCCCTATTTTTTGGGTCAGATTGGCACAAAAAATTTTTTGGTGGGCAGCAGAATTTCAGTGATTGTCTCACGTGTGCCGTGAGACGAAAAGGGTGGGAAGTCGCTGACTCAGAGCACCTTAAGTGCCGTGACTCTAAATACCCAGTGCGTCTCCTGATAAAGGCTGTGACCAACGCTTTATGCCTTTCACTCCGATGACCTGAACACTGACCGACTACGTGTCGCAGCAGAGACACTGTGTCTCCTGACTGAAACGCTGCGGACAACAGGAAGGAGCAGCAGACAAGGGCCTCGTCTGTGGAAGTCTGAAGACACACTCGCCCCTCCCCCCCCGAAATACGGTAACGTGTGCGCACACCTAAGTGGACACAGGGTGCGTGTTCAGAAGTGTCTCCTCTCCCCTGCAGCCGTGCACACTGGTGTGGCTGCGCAGCGAGAGCGCCGCCCTGGGCTGCCCTCAGCAGGGCCAGCTCGGCGTCTGCTGCTGAAGTCGTGACAGCCAACAGCAGCACAGCTCGCAAGCAGTGAGACGCCCTTTCTGCCTGCAGATGCATGCCAACCGCGAAACCACCACCACCACCAGCGAATTGAAAGAAAACAACGTAACAACAGAGTAAACCAATACCTATGAACTCAGGTTGGTGTTTGGGAGCCAGTGGGAGGTACAGCAGAAACTCTAACGTCTCATGCGGGGCACACGTGAGACACGTGAGACACAGGGAGAGGCAGGCATGGGCAGAGCGGGGCCGGGGGCCCAGCCCCGGAGAACACGGCCGCCACGCAAAGACGCGGCCCCCCCAGCTCTTGCTAACGGTACGCTGCACTGCTCTCTCAAAAGTCGCCACTCTTCCTGTTTTACAGGGAGTGTGGGTGCGGTTCTAGGCGAGTCGGGCCCATGGGAGAGGGTGCTAGACCGAGGGTGGGGTTCGCCCCCGTGGCTGGGTCACGCGGTGAGCTCTGGCTACGGGGAGCCGTGCGGCCCTGTGAGAGCACGCGCTGTGCTCTCCGCATACCTTGTTTCCGTCAGGGTTGTGGATTACAGTGGTTTGGGGCTCCTGAGTGAGAACAAAATAGAGAGAGAAACAGTTTGCACAGTGAGAACGTTCCGACTGGCGTGGGCAGAGCAGGGAGAACAGCCCCCGGGACCGACGGGGACAGAGCGGAAGCCGTGGCGCCCACAGCAGAGGCCACGATGGGCAGGCCTCGGACGACGGTCTCGGGGGGCCCCGAGGGGACCCCGGAGCCCAAGAGCAGCATGCAAAGACCTTATTCCGTCAGCACACAGACCGGCTTTGCAGGCTGCGGGCCTGCAGAGGCGCCACTGTTTCACGGCCCGGCACCGGGCACTGCCCGCTCCTCGGCGAGGGGCCCGGGCCCGTGGCCAGGGGCACGGGAGATGAGAGCGCTCTGAGGGGCCTCAGGTTCTCCGAGGATGGCTTTCCAGCTGTGGTGTCCTCGGGACTGGTTATGGTGTCCAACACACAGATGCGCGCCCTTGGAGAATGTAGAACCGTTGGACTTAAAAAAGGACGAACCTACAGAACATATCCCAGAAGTCCAGGAGAGACTCCAAGGAACATTTAGGAGTCCATTTAGAGGGCTCTGCAAGTCCTCACGGAGTCACACAGTTTGCTGTTAAGTCCTGCGTCGACTCGTATCAAACAGGCTTTTACTGATGTACTACACACCTAGAAGATTTCTTTGTAAAGCCACGTTTTCCCATAAAGAATTATTCTTCCTATTTTTTTCTACCAGAAAATTTAAGAAATATTCCCAAGTGGGAAATGATGCTCAAACAAGTGACATAAAAAGCCTTCATTCCCTTCCCTGGATGACACGCTGACTCTCGTCACACGAGGCCTCGTCAGGAGGAGGTCGCAGCAGCCTGAGCACTGGTGGCAGCCACAGGCCCTTCCCAGTGAGGCTGTGGGGACCCTCTGGCCACCGGCCGGCCCCTCCTCCCCTCCCCGCTGGACTCGGGATCTGCGCTGTGACCGGGAGATGGCCTGCCGTCCTACGTGTCTGTCTGTCCTGCTGACGTGCTGAGTGGGCCCTGCTGTGTCACTCAAGTGAGAGAGTCTCCAAGCCCTTCGGGTTCATTTATGGTGTCAGTACGCAGGACGGCAAGAAGCCAGAAACATTCCTGGAAACCCTAAATCCAAACATGGAACATTCTGGAGAAAATAATGCGAGACTCAGAGCGTCGAGCCCTAGCTGCCACACCTCACGCTCAGCAGTGTGCTCCGAGGTGGCAAGCTGGCGGGGCTGCCGCCAGTGCGAACGCCAGCGCAACGCCCTCCGTGGTGCCGGGGGCTGACGCTCGGTGCTGCGTGGTCTCGCCCTCTGGGCTGGCGTGAAACAGTGGCCCTCTGACCTGGGAGACAGCAAACGGGAGGCCTGAGCGGCCCAGAGGCTCTCCGTCTCACCACGAGGCCTTGCAAAGCCGGTGTCAGTCAGCAAGCGGGCGGGGGCTCTGAATAAGGTCTGTGCTTCCGGCTCAGCGGCCGGCCCTGCGCCCCGGCGTCAGGGGAGCCAGGAGCCACCAAAGCGCATTCGCAGCACGCCCAGGCACATGCAGAGCCGGCGGCAGGGAGCCCGGCTGCGGCGACGCTCAGCGACAGAGCGAGGCCTCCCGCGCAGACACGCACAGCTCGACAGCCGCCTCCAAAATCAAAGGAGAAGATGGGCTTGTCGCGTCTGGGGAAGCAAAGCCCAAAGAAGCGGGGCCCGACGGAAAGGGCGCGTGCTGTGCATCCACGCGGGGCGCGCACGCGGGGGCAGCGGAGGACAGCCAAGCGCGGAGGAAGGTTACGGAGTCCAGCTGTACCAGCGCCGGGGGAGGGGCATTTTCTTTGGGGCTAGTTACCACGTTGGCTTTGTTGTTTATCTGTGGGTGCGCAGAAAATAGAAAGAGACGCCTTAAAGCCCTGGTAGCAAACTCTACGCGCCGTGTGTCTACTGGAGACGCCGACGCGCACACAAAGAACGCTGCGGAGGGCGGGAGGCACGCGGTGCCGGCCGGCGGCAGAGGGGCCGCAGCAGCGCCCGAGGCGCCCCGGCCTGGCACGGGCCTGCCCGCTGCCCCCACTCTCCGCGGGCCCCCACTCTCCGCAGGGCCTCTGCCACCGCCGGCGCCACCTGCCCGCCCGCCCGCCGGCCTCCAGGAGCCCGCCCCTGCGCTCACTCTGTCGGGGAGGCTCAGCCCCCTGACCGGCTTTCTGGGGCCCTCATCCCTTCGCTTAATGGGCATCCAATGAAAAGCTTTTGTCTTCTGATGAAATGCAGGCTTTATAAATTCGTTCAAAAATGGTATGTCTGGGTCTCCTTTAAAAAATGCATCATCAAATATAAATAGGCAAACGGGCCTCATTGCCGTATTCTGGTGGCAAATAACTACTCTTCACTGGGTTTCCTGCCAAAGCTCTGCAGCTGTCGCTGGAGATCACACCGGGGAACGCCACCCCTGCTCTGGTGTCACTGGTCCAGCCTCACGGAAGAGGCTGCTGTCCCGGCGGAAGCCCCCCGTGCAAACGCCCCGAGAAGGCTCTGCACACAGCGGCCCCTGGACCACGCAACCGAGTCGTGGCGAATGGCAGCGGCCAGCGCCGTCTCGATTCACACGTGGTGGCCTACGCTGTGGCCACCAGCTCGTCGTGTGGGACGACGCTCTCTGGGCCTTTTCCTCACGTGCCAGTGCTGTCCGAAGGAACGCCCCCCCCCCCCAGCTGTAGTGTAAATGTGCGTAAGGACTCATGGAGAAAAACGCCCCGCACTAAGAAGTGAGCACCCAAGAGCATCAGCAGTCACCCCAAGGCATGCGTGGCCCTCTGGGGGCTGCTCTCTGACTCACACCCGGGCCACCCTGAAAGCAGCATTGAGGGGAGGGCAGGGGGCTCAGCGGCTGACGTGGGCCCGTGACGTTTGGCCTTTCTGTCCGCCCACCTGTGTGCCCAGACGGCGCACTGTCACACTGTGCTCGGTGACACGCAGGAGAAGGCAGAAGACTTCAGGGCCCCTTACCAGAAAACTCTTTAAATGTCCCTCCGTCTTTGGCAGGTAGGGTGTTTGAAACTGCTCTTTAAGCGAGAGTGTGCGGACTGGAGCACAGAATCTGTGCAGCGGCCCCAGCCAGAGTGCCCGGAGCCTGCAGCGGAGGGACGGGCGGGGTGCCGCATTCCCCCACACGGAGAGCATCTGAGGGGACGCAGGCCGTCCCCCCGCCCCCAGGAGGGGTGCTCGGCTCGACGGTCCGCGGTCGGAGGGGTGGCCTCCCCAGGGGTCTCGGGGCACTGTGCACACACGCCGTGAAGACGCTGCACTCCTCGTGTCAGCGGGTGCAAACAACGAGAGAGGGATTCCGTGTTTTCACTGGTCGAGACAAGAGAGTTTGTGCTCCTAGGATGCGGACGCCAAGAACTGCTGCATTTTAGTGCGTGTTCCACACGCAGCCGCGCACACTGGCATGCACACGTGAGCACGCACACACCCCCCACACCCCCACGCACACAGCGACGTGGACACTGTGCTTCCAGAGCCCTGCACTATCCCCGTGTGACTGGCTCTGGGGTGCGGCCTCTCCCGGGGAGAGCCTGGCAGGCAGACCACGCCCCCCACCCAAACCCACAGCCTGGACCCCTGTTCTGGCCTCACCAGTCGGAGGCGGGGAGGAGAAAACGGAGCCGGCCGCGCTTCTGGGCGCCACAGCGTGGAGCTCAGGGCAGCGCTGCCCTCGGGAAAGCCGCCAGGGACGTGTCTCCACCCGAGGGGACTGGTGGCGGCCGGTGCCGGGCGGGAGCCGTGGGCTCCGCGTCCGAACGGCACAGAACAGCGCAGGGAAGGCCGAGGCGGGGGGCGGTAGAGCCCTCGCATCCCCACCACACTAACCGGGAAAAAGCAGACCTCTCCCATGACCCGAAATTCACACAGGGGCCCCGAGCAGGAGGAGGAGGGCCGGTGGCGACAGGCGGTGCAGGGGGCGGCTGCCGCGCTGCCGTCCGGTCACGCAGGCAGGTGGTGAGGACAGGGGCGGGCACGGACCCATGGGACCCGCCATTTCCCACGTCACACTATCAAAGTGAACCGAGCACCTGACTTCTAGTCAAGTTCAAAGGTTAGAATGGGAACTAATCCTGAGACTGCTGAGGTGCTCGTGAGGAGTGTGTGCATCCGCCGTTGGAAGAGAAAGAAAGGCGTTAAAGGAAACGCACAGGTAACGCTCTGGGGAGAGAAGCATAATGCACATACACGGTTACATTCCAGGTACATTCCCATGAAACACAGTGGAATCACCAGAAAATCAGTTGTATTACCCTGTTTAGAAACCCAAGGAAGTGAACACACCCTGTTCCTTCCTTGGAAAGCTTATAAAATTTGTTCCAAATACTCCCCTAGAAGGGTCTTGGCACCTCAGACAGGAGCCCAGTGACAACTGGGGCCCCCGAGAAAGGGCCCTCGGCCCCCAGACCCCCGTGTGGCCCCTGAGGCCGCATGTGTTGGCGGTGTCGGCATGTGTGTGTGGGGGGTGAGGCACCACAGGCTCCGGGTGACGGGGACCGTCTGGGACCGCAGGAAACCAGAGGGGCCAGACGCTCCGTTTCCACAGCAAGCCCACATGAAAGTGTTACCTGTCAGGACTGTGTCACATACAGTGGAACAGAAAAAAATACAGCTTTTCTGGGCATAAATGCCACTTGTCTCTGTGTGTGAAATTAGTTTGCACTTCAGCCTGATTCTCTGCAGGAACTGGACAACCGCTCCGCAGAGCCCCGGGGGTCACGGGTGGCAGTGCGAACTCTCAGAAAGGGTCCCGGGAGCGCGCGGGACGTACCTTCACTCCGTCTGGCTTCTTCAGCAAACTCTTGGCTGCTGCAGAACGAGAGTGAGACCGCGTTAGCGCGCCACGCACGGGCGCCAGGGCCCGGCGGGAGCCGGTCCCAGTGCCTCCCCGGCGTGCTGAGCCGCGGCCCGCCCGCCCGCCCGCGCACCCGCCGAGCTGGCCGTGACAGCCGAGGGTCCGGGGCAGGGGAACGTGGCATCACCGCACGAGGAAGCCGCAGCCCGGGCCCTGCCCAGCTCCCTGCGCAGTCTCCCTAATTTTGAGTGATTCACTAATTACTGGGCCACAGTGGAACATCAGTTTATTTGACTAAAGCCTTCATTAGGTAACATCTAATGAGATGAACTGAACTCACCCCTGTAAATGTCAGCCGTTCCCAGAACAGGTCACCTGCCAAAGGCAGTGACAGGGGGCCGAGCCCGCCCGGCTGAGCCTCGTCCCGAGCCCTGGCCCCCTCCCCGCACGGCTCCAGCTGCTGCTCCCCAGCCAGGAGAGGCCTCTGGCAGCCGCCCGGCTCACACTGTCCACCACGCAGCGCAGCGCACGGGGACAGCGTCTCCCCCCAGGGTCACGCTGTGGCTCTGGGCTCCACCCTCGGGAAGCAGGAGCAGAGGACAAGACTGCAGGGTGGTCTGACGCCGCAGACCCTCCTGAGAGCCGGAAGCAGGTGAAGGGGCCCCAGTCTCGGGGCCACCGTTGGGCAGCCGTCCCGGGTGCCACTGGCCTGACAGGGAAGTTACCAAGAGCGGCTTTCCCGCTGCTCTGGGCCTCCCTGTGCTTGAGGCTGATTGGTAGTTCCCAAAATCTGACTTGGACACTGGATCCCCTGAAGTGATCAGCCGAAGAAGGGGCCCCAGAATGGAAATAGTGCTCGAGGTTGTAGACACTTGTGTCCGCCGGGGGGAGTGGCCCTTGCCGTGGAGAGCTGCCCAGCCTCGAGCTGCGCACTGAGCTCGCCCAGATCACAGAGGAGCGCTCCCCGCCCGCCCAGGCGCTGCCGCGGGCAGCTCCCCTGGACGGAGCCCGGGCCCCTTTCCTGGCGCCAGGATACGAGAGTGCTTTCAGAGAACTTGGCCCCAGGAGCCGAGGTCCTCGGTGACGGCCTTCTTTTAAGGGTCACCTGCATGGCGCCCCTGTGCACAGCACCTTGGGGATCAGGCCACAACCCCCACTGCCATCCCCAAACAACACGCCACTGTTCTCCTAATCATTACTTTTCCTCAGTTCCAAAGAGAAGAAAGAAGACACCAGAAAGTGAGGGTCAGAGTCCTTAACTCACGTACCTGAAAAATTCCTCGTGGCCAGCATGGTGGTCAGGATGGCACCCTGTGAGACGGGAGACTGGGTGAGTGCCGTCCTGGGCCACAGCCTCCCGCCCAGCCCAGGGGAGGGACACAGCTGCCCCTCTGCTGCCAGTCACAGGCCCCCGGTGCTCTGCCACGGGGTGACACCCAGTGCACCCCCAGCTCACGGGGGCCCAGGAGCCAAGCCCACAGGCTGGACACGAGGAAGTCTCTGCGAACAGAGCCTGTTCCTCACCCCCGCCCCCGCCCGTGACCCTCCCAGCAACGCCCCCACCCACCTTCAGCTTCCTGCGGGCGTTGAACTTCTTCAGGCAGTCCACCGTCTCCTGCCTGTGCATCATGGAGGCCACCGTGGAGCGTTGCTGCGGGAGAGGGGAGGGCTCACACCCCACATGGCACTGCGGCCCGGCCCGGCCCACGCGCAGAAGTCCACCCCTTCCCAGCCCCCTCCACGCCCACACGCTGCGACCGTGTTTCTGCGGGGTTGCCTTCCGTGTGCTCCCCACCGCGGCACGCCCTCGCACCCGACACGCATCCCTGGAGAGCCCCGTCGTCTCCACGTCCCCCGCAGCGTCCACGGGCTCAGCGCTCAGCGTTCACGCAACGTCCCCCGCAAGGTGCCCCCCGTCCGGGGTCTGCTCAGCCTCAGCCCACCAGCCTTCCCTGGGAGGAAAACTTCCTCCCAGCTCCCCAACCTCGTGCTTGTTCCTAAAGCTGCCTAACTGCACACAGTAGACGTCGTGCAGCTGTTTTCCTCCAGGTGGCGTGGGGCCGGGGTGCCACTCTCTGCGCTGCCGCGGTGACCGTCGTCGGTGCGACCGGCGGCGAGCGCGCACCCGGCTGTCTGTGGGGGCAGGCCCTGCTGCCCAGACGTGTTTTCACCGCAACTCAGCTCACTCGGCTCGGCGCCGTGAGTCACCACCGGCGCACGCACTTCACCTTTCCCTGCAGACGCTACTTCAGCCCCAGGGGAGAGTGGACCGGCGAGCCGTCCCCGTGCCCGTGCCCGTGCCCGTGCGCGCGGCACTCACGCAGATCCAGGGGTGCTTGAGCGCCTCGGCGGCGGTGATGCGCTTGGCGGGGTTGATGGTCAGCATCTTGTTGATGAGGTCTTTGGCTTCAGGGGTCACCGTGTCCCACTCTGGGGATGGAAACTTCAAAAACAGAAATGTACGAAGAGAGTGAGAAACAGGCTCCCTCGGCCGGCCGGGCAGAGCCAAACACGCTAACGATCTCCACGAGCTCGGGGCTCCCGCGCAGACGCACCGTCCGCACGGCCGGGCGGCGTCCGGGAGCGCCGACACAGGCGGCAGCCGCGCCCCTCACCCCTGTGCCCGTTCGCCGGCTGCGCACACACAGGCAGGAGCCGACACGGGACAGACACAGACTCCCACGCACACATTCTATGTAGTAAGTATTTTTAGAGTTCAGAAAAATAAGCTTAAAAATCTTTTAGTCCTGAAAGTGAAATTTTACACACTCCTTCTCACGAGCATTTGCAAAAATCACGGAGGTGGCAGCTGTCACACATGTGGGCGCCCCGAGGCTCCCCCCGTCCCAGCAGCGACAGCGAGACAGCCCAAGGCCTCGTGTCCTGGGTGGGTCATGTCCGTCGGTGGCCGCAGCGCGAAGGACCGGGCCGTGCAGGCGGCGTGCCGCGCCCCCGGGCTGACCCAGCCGTCGGGGTCCACTGCCGCTGCGTCCGGGAAGGACCAGCTCCCGCAGGGGCAACTGGAAGCCCGCCCCCGTCAGTGACCTCGCAGCACAGCACAACACAAACTGGGCTCTTCCCCAGTCTGCGAAGCTTTAAAGAAAGTCTCGGAAAAAGCTCTTGTAACTGTGCCATGGACTTGTTACTTTTTGTATAAAATGAGCAGTTTGTGACCCATTGGCAAAATGAAACTCGAGAAAAGCATACTCTTTAGCAGTTGTAGATTTTGCCCGTTTAACAACTGTCACTTTAATTCCACGTTTATTTTGGGCAGTTGCAAAAACTTGCTAAGGATTCCGAACGATGAAACACTCGAGGCAGGAAAGGGCCCTGACCAAGGCCCGGTGGCGCCTGCCTGGCCACACCTGCGGCTCCCCGCCAGTGGGGCCCCGCTCTCGTCTGCAGGGATGGGCAGGTGCTGCTGTGGCCGCCCAAGTAAGTCTGTCCAATTATTAGTCTGCCTAGATGGAACGCGTCAGCATGAAAAGAATCATTTTTCCCGTGACTCAAACTTCCATCTCACCAGAACATGTTACCAGAAGGCACTGGGGAGTTCATGAGACCTGATAGAGCATAATTCAGACTTTTAAAAATACATATTTATTTATTCTAGAGAGAGGGGAAGGGAGGGAGAAAGAGAGGGAGAGAAACATCAATTGGTTGCCTCTCATACATGTCCCAATGGGGACCAAGCCCACAACCCAGGCCTGTGCCCTGACGGAGAATTGAACCTGTGACTTTCAGCTTTGCAGGATGACACCCAACCCGCTGAGCCACAGAGGTCGGCGCCAATCCAGACTTTGTACATCAGTGCGCTCTCCTCTACACGCAGCCCTCAATCTGCACGGAAGGCGGACCCTGCGCCATCCACTACGCAGTCACCCCACTTGCCGGCACAGGGGAGCAGCTGCAGCCCCTGCGCGCTGGCCTCCGGGGGCCGTGGGGGGAGCCCGAGGGCCTGTGTCGCTCACAGACGCTCAGCAAGGGGCGGAGAGCCGTCCCCAAGAGCAGAGTGCGGCCGGAAAGGGACAGCAGACAAGACCTCCCTGTTCAGACTCAGAAGTTAACTCACGCGCGTGTGTGTGTGTGTGTGTGCGTGTGTGTGCCTACTCTCCGACACTCCGACTGCACGTGAAATGCTCTGGGACCGAAAAGTAACGTCAGCTGCGAAGCCTTTTCTTCCGAGCGGAGCGCGCACGGAGCGCGCACGGAGCCCGCACGGAGCCCGCGAGGCCGACGAGGCCCTCGGAGCAGGGCTCCGCCTGGCGCCCAGGTCCCTGCAGTGCCGCCGGCTCGCGACTTACATACAGTCATGGGACGGGCACCGGGAACCCCGAGAAAACACGCAGGGGGGAACCGCTTCTAGAGCAACGTGCTGTCGCTCCTAGGAGTTCAAACGCACGAAGTTCCAAACACTGTGACAAACCGAGTCCCTCCGTGGAGACTCCAAGCTGCCCTCCTCTCACCCTCCGCAGAGGTGGGCCGGGAGGGCACGAGCAGGGTGACACGCACGCCTCCTGATTCCCAGCTTGTCCCCCATCTCCCCCCCCCCCCCCGAAAGGAAGACCACAGGGAGCTCCCGCAGCGCTCTGAACCCTGTTACGTACGTCGTAAGCGCCGGCCTTGATCTGCTGGTAGAGCCTGTGCTGGTCTTCGTCCCAGAACGGGGGGTACCCCACCAGCAGGATGTACAGGATGACGCCTGCGGGGATGGGCACATCGGCACGTTAGGCCACCCGGCTGGCAGCGAGCCCCCCAGACGCCCACAGGACACGCGAGGGAGGGGCCGGGCTGTGGGGGCGCCCCGGACAGACGTGTGCGTAGCGGCAGTGGAGCAGGGCCACACCATCCAGCTGTCAGGCCTAAGCTGCTGACCGGGCTCAGCAGGTCACCTGAGGACGGCACCTGCCTGTCCTTCCGGGCCACACGCTCTTTGGCGTCCCTGAACGTTTCTGTGTGCGACCGGCCTGCAAACACTGCTGGCACCTCTGTCCTGCCAGAGTGGCCGAGCACCCAGACTGCGTGTGTGCCCGGTCACGGCTGCACGGCTGGGGAGCTGGGGGCCTCCCTCACCCCCCACACTCACCGCCCAGCAGGCCCCTGACCGGGCGGAGGGAAAGGGGAGAACACAGGAACTAAGTGAGGCGTGAGGAGGGGCAGGCAGCACGTGGCCCAGGATAAGGTGGGCAAAGACGGCAGGCCGTCTCAGGGTCCCCGGTCACTGCCCAGTCTGCACCCGTGGGCCCGCCCTCTGCGCCCAGGGCCCCGGAGCAGCCCCCAGCCACCCAGCCCCTCCCCACAGCACCCGTCTCTCAGTGCCCGCCTGCTCCATTCAGCAGCGGAAACAGGCCTGGTGGTGGCTGACTGTGCAAAGGAATCTGCGTTATCGCCATCAGCATTTAGGTGTGAACAAGGGCACTTTGGGATAGCACTCTGACCCCGAGGCAGTTCAGGGTTCATGCTAAGAAGTCGCCCTCAGGGAGGTGGAGAGAGGCAGGGTGGGGAAACACCTAGGATCTCACACGCTAACGAAGGGAAAACCCCAGCAGTTTAGGACAGCTGCTTGTGCTTCAATGACTTTGCAAACTATGACATGTCCTCATCTAAAGTGCACGGGATTGCAGGGGGGCGCCACACCCCCACTCGCAGCGGGGAAGCCCCCGGCGAGCCCCCTGCGGAGACGAGCAGGGCTGGGCGGCAGGCGCCCAGGACGGCTCCCCGGGTGCAGAGGGGCCCCGAGCCCTAGGGCTCCCCAGTCACAGTCCAACAGCGTGATGCTGCTGCTGCTGCCGCCGCCCAAGAGACGGCAGACAGCAGGGACGGCCCATCCCTACGCTGTGGCGGTGGAGCACTTACTCATGTTTTCAAGTAAAACCAAATCTGGGAAGTTACTTTCCAAACCAGGGTCTGGGACCAGCTCCTCGCAGGCCCCGTGGCCGGCACCGGAGGCAGAGGAGCCCCGCGCGGCAGGAGGCCCTGCGCTCCCTGACAGCAGCCGGGGCCGCCCACGCCTTCGCCCCGAGGAAATGCTCTGAGCACCCCATCTCACCCCTTTCCTCCCCATCTCCCTCCTGCCTGAGGGGGGTTCCCAGACAGGGAAGAGGTCCGCGGCAGCCACTTTGGGGGACACAGCAACCCCCACCCCACCGGCCGCAGGGGCCTGCAAGGAGCTGGCACAGCCGTCAGGCCCCCGGGACAGTCTCCTCCCTGCTTCTCTGGACACAGCCGCTGCCTCCCCTGCCCAACACTCTGGGCCAGCCTCCCAGCTGCGGGGGTGCCGGGTGAGGCCAGGAAGGGGCACGGGTGAGGCCTATGGGGACCCCCGCCCCTGGTGGCGCCCAGGCAGAAGGACGGCAGCCCCGCACGGCCCCCCGGGGGGTCCTTACCGCAGGCCCACATGTCCACTGGCTTCCCGTAGGGGTCCTTCCGCAGGACCTCTGGGGAGAGGTAGCCGGGCGTGCCCGCGAACCCTGCAGAGACAAAGGCCCGTGAGCCGGCGCCGATGGGACAAGGCCCTGAGAAGTGGGGACACCGGGTGAACCTTGTTGGGCTCTTTCTGGGTCGTCTTTGCCCCACCGCTCGGCCTTAGGAGACTGCAGGGGCAGAGAGAGCCCCTCCGTCTGTGCAGGGCCTGGCCCGCCGCACTCTGGCCGGCCCTCTCCCTGTGGGGGCTGGGGCCAGCGTGGGAAGGGGTGCGCACGCGCCACGCAGGCCAGGCCCCCAGGGCGTCTCAGCGGCAGGCAGCTGAAGAGCAGCAGGTGCCGGCAGGACCTGCCTCCTGACCCCCCCGCCCCAGGAGGGGGACCGCCCGTGGCCGGGGCGTGCGAGCCCAGGCTGAGGTGAAGTGGCCCAAACGCACCTGAGGGGTAGCTCCACACCCCTGCGGTCCCCACGCACCCCGCCACCCCGGGCACACCCCTCAACTGACACCCCGCCGGGACACGTGCCTGGCCGGGGGCACGGGGGGTCTGCCCAGAAAACACCTGGGGTCTCCAGCTGCTTGCAGCTGTTCAGAGAAAAGCAGCTGGCAGTGAAGGGCATTAAAAAATACCTGATCCCAGAACACTGAAAGTCGGAGGGAAAGTAAGACGGGGGGGCGGGGGGCGGGCAGGGAGAGGCCCCAGGGCACCGTGTGAGAAGTGGGCTGCTAACAGGGGGAACTGGCAGAAGGTCAGAGGGCCAAACAGCTTGTTCAGGCCAAACCCTGAACTAGCTAGCGCATAAGCCTGGTTAGAAACACTTGTCGTTTACATTTGTTTAGAAACAGAAATCTCACCATATAGGAACCTCAAAATTATCAAAACCTTAGAGAGGAAAAGGGTATTTTCCAGAACAGACACATAAGGCGAAACACATACTATAATCTACGCGTATGTATACATGTGTTTTAACGTTGGTACACGCTAACTCGCCAGTCACGCAGGTCCCACAGCCGCTCCTCCGTGCTTCCCGAGCCCGACCCCTCGCACAGCGGCCCCAGCGGCACGTGAGGCTGCGTGTGCACAGCCCCTTCTCGCGGACCACACATGCACACGCTCCCGGGGCACGGCCACCGCCTCGCCGTTCTCAGAGCCCAGCCCGTCTGCTCGCCCTCCGTGAGGAGGACGCCCGTGTGCTACTGCTCCCCACGAAGGTGCCCGCCCCGACGTTACTCCCGGACTTCCGCCCTTTGCCGTCGGGGCAGCGAGGCGCCGAGAGGCCCCGACTTCCCGCCGGCCGAGTGGTGGGAACGAGGTCTCCTTCTCGGCGGCCAGGGAGCAGGGGGGTGTGGCTGGGCAGCGAGGGCGAGACCTACTCACCGAACCATGCCTGCTGGTCTCCTTGCACTTCTATGGCCAGGCCGAAGTCCGCCAGTTTCACAGCCGCTCCCTTGGATTTGCTAGCTAAAAGCAAATTCTCAGGCTTTATTTAGAAACGAAAAGAAGAGACTGGAGTGAGAACCTATTTTGAGGGACCCTGCGCCACGAACAGCACTGAGTGTGAGACTGGGGGACAGGCATGCCCCACCCTCGCCCCGAGACTCACCCGGCCCCGGGGGGGCCGGCGGGGCCGGGAAGGACAAGGTGCCAGGCGTGCAGGGGCAGACAGGTGCGCGCACGCCCGGACGGCCCCGGCCGGAGAGCGTGCGCGCGGCTCGGGCCCAGGGGGTGGGCGTCTGTCCGGACCTGCTCGCGTGCTCCCCGGGGCCGCCCGGGGCCCCGACAAGGGCCGAGAAGCCTGGCAGAGCACAGACACTGGCGGCAGCGGGAGACGCGGCAATGCGAGCGGGAGCTGGACTGATTCACAGACATTTGGCAGAGGAAACTGTGCAAATTAAATCCTGGCTGATTTCAGGAGCTGGGACCCGAATGTGGTGATTGTGATTCCTCAATGTTTCCAAACAATTTCTGTACAAATTTTGGAGTCTTGTTCTGAATTATGGATTAAACTGCAGTCTTTAAGAATCTGTTTATTCTTAAAGGCAGAAAGAGTACACTACTATTTGCCAAATGTTATCGTCAGCTTTTTCCTCCAGAGGCCGGCTCTCCGCCCCGACACCCGCAGTCTCCGGAGCGCGGCCCACATGTCCTCCTGAGCGTCCCCCCTCAGACACCCGTCTTCACGCCTTGGAACCAGCGCCACCGGGGAGGAGCGCTCTCGCTCCCCGCTCTTCCCCACGGCTCGGGACCAGCGCCTCTCGCGACAATCGGGCTGTCTCTCCCCCACCCGGTGCCTCCCGACCAGAGCCCAGGGCGCGTGGGGGCTTGGAAGGCAGGCACCGGCCCGAGCCTTGCGTGGGCCCGACCACCCCGCGGGCCTGAGGACACGGCAGGGGAAGCTGGTTGGGGAAGGGTGGCCAGTCCGTGCGCCCGGTGACGCCCGCTCCCTCCCGGTGTCTGCACGCAGGTCTGCTAGGCTGGGACAGACACACCTGAGAGAGCAGCTCACGCCCCCTTCCCCGTGGGACAAGGCCCAGCAAATGCGGAGGTGTGTCTCAGACCGACTGAAAAAAGGTGGGAAGCCGTGGACCAAAGAAAAGCCAAGACAATTGTCTGAAAATCTAAAAACTCAGTCAAGTTGGTTCTATTTATATACTAACATCTAATTTCATATTTTTTCATAAAATTGGATACACCTTTTTAGCTGAATGAGTCAATTCTGCTAGTTGGTCTGACCTTGTATTGACACAGCCTAAACCAATATTTAATTGATCACTTAAGTGAGCCATGCAAACCAGCAAACGACTCACAACCACATGTGAAGGAATCAGGGTGAGGCTGCAGGGGGCGCTGTCGGCCGGGCGCCGGGCAAGCCCCGGCGGCGGCGGCACCGCCGTCAGAGGCAGCACTGTCACCGCCGTCAGACGCAGCCCCAGCAGGACAGCCGAGGCTGTGGGGCCAGCTCGGCGACAACGCCTGGGGGGTGGGTGGACTGCGTGCGAGTCACCTCGACGCCAAACTGGGATGACTGAGTTTGGATGCCGGGAGGAAGGTGTCTCAAGAATACGAATGATCTTCACGGTGAAATAAGTGTTAGCAGAACCTAACATTCCAGATTACTTGGAAGTCTGGTTATCTACCAACAGAGTATCAAACCGTGGCATGCTATTATTCGACATTGTGTTCTTATAACTAAAACGTTTCTAACGTGATCAATAGTCTCCAGATGTTAATTTATGGAACAAATGGCTGGGGGGAGCCCTGTCAAGCTGTCCCCGAAGTTCGAAAGCCTGGGGGTGTCAGGGAGCCGCGTGACGCTCGCTGTCCTAACCCGCCGCCAGCAGGCCCGTCTCGAGGGGACTTGCGGTCGCTCTCGAAAGCGCAGCCACTGTCGGTCTCTCAGGTCGGTGGCACTGACGTCTGCGGAGCCAACACCAGTGTCACCCTGGACTAACGTCTACAAACTCGGCATGGTTTCATTTTTGTTGCTCAGTCACAACACCCTGGGCAGTGCTGCGTGCTCCATGCCCTGGGACAGCGGGTCCCGGGTCCCCTCCAGCTGAGCTGAGGGGGCTGCCCCGGGCCCCGCCGGGCAGGCCCGCCGGCTGAGACAGGCCCTGGGGCTCCCCGCCTGCCCGTGAGCCACGCAGGAAGCCACAGACCCGTTGGCACCGGGGTCAACCCTGACACCCATGACGGCTGCTCTGTGGCAATTACATGCAGGGAAAGGCCAGGCAATGTCAAGGTCACTTTATAAGTTTAAAAATTACCAGCCCTGAAACGGCTTCATATTTATGCGTATCTTTTAGGCAAACCTAAAATATGGAATTATGGAATGCAACCTGGAAAATTAGGATGACTGACTTTATTGAGATTTGCTTTATATTACACAGTCGGCAAACACAAGGCCTGAGGGCCGAACCCGGCCCTCCACCTTGTTCTATCCGGCCCAGCACCTCGTTTCCACCCGGTGGCAGCGCTGAGCTCCCCCTGAACTGTTAAGGGCAGTCACGTGTACACAGTCCTGCAGTTACACTCAGCCCTTGGAAGGCAGCCACGAGGCTGATGTGGCCCCTGGCACAAATGAGTTTGACACCCCCGCTTATAGAATGTTTCATCACAAGACTGCTTCTAATTAATGGCTAGCTTCAATGAAACATTAAGAATATCACACAAATTTGATTTATACGTAACCTTTGGTGGAACATATCAGCCTGATTAACCCTATCATCATGTCCTACGGCCCGTACAGCCTCCACCTCCAACATGCACTGCGCTACCAACGGCCAGTGGTGAGGGGGCGAGTTCAAATTCTGAGTGGCGACAGGAGGAAAATTCGTCTTACATTCCAAAAAAAGCCGAGGTAGGAACACCTCTCAGCTACCCGGTGTCACGCCCTTAAAAGGGGTGTCTGCCGCACCCTTGTTGGCTGCTATTCCCCGACTTGGATTTCCTGCCGCCAGCGAGGAGAATGAGCCCAGAAGCGCGGGTCTTCCCGAGCGGCGGTGGGTGAGCGTGGGCCCCGCACCCTGCAGGACACAGGCCGCTGATGGCCCGGAACGAGGGTGCAGGCCAGGGTGCGTGTCCCGGGCTTAGCTGCTAGCACACGGGCCCTTGGAGCGGAGCAACTAGTTTCCCTCCCAAACACACATTCTAAGGAGCGACCCTGTCAGCAGTGCACAGGGACGGTGCTCTCCCGGCTCTCAAACGAGAACCCGTCTGAGTCGACGTTCCTTTATTCCCTGTGACCTCATGGTTGTCACCTGTCACCGCAGCCTCTCTTTGACCCAGTACTTGTCTGATTGCGGTGCTCGTTTGGGGTATGGCCTTCTTTTTGGTGGGAGGACAGCGGCTCACGTTCCACACGGTCGTGAGTAGCCTGTAAGACGCCTGCACCAGTCCCGTGGCCCGCAGGCCGGCGCACAGGTCTGCTCTGGCTGGGCACTGTGCTCCCTGCCCCGGCTCAGACGGGCTGTGCGGGGCAGGGGCGGCTGGCAAGTGTCTGTTCTTCGCTCTTCGCAGCCGACAGCCCCGTCACCGGCTCACAGATGACCAGCAGGAGTCGCAGCGGCTCACGGACAGTCCGTCTGTCAGCACCCCAAACCCACCGTCTGGCCTGACGGGGCCTGCGTTAGGGCCCGGTGCCGTCCGCTGTCGGAGCCTCCCTTTCCGAAGGCCGTGGCCAGTGCCTTACTGGCCCCTAAACAAGGAACCATTACTTTACACAACAGCCTATTCCCAAACTGCGTTCCTCCCGCACTCCACAGGAGAGCTGGAAGCGGCCTTATTCTCTTATTCCCAGGTCTGGAAGACCCATGGGTGGGATTAAAAGGAATCTTCTGGTTAGCTAAACTTAGAACCATTGCCCACATAATTCTTAACATTGCTGGCAAAATTATTTCCCACCACCGTTGACCTCTTCTTTGGTCTCTATGACAGTTTCAATTCACCGAGCTGAGCTGAGAAGTAGCAGTGACCCCGGAACCAAACTATGTGGGCACACACCTATGGCCTCGCTGAGTGGCAGGAATGGGTCCTGTCCTGACGGTCACTGCAACCCACCCTGGGCAACCCACGGCCACCCGAGTACCCTGCACAGGAAGGGGCTAAGGGAAGTCGGCACAAGGACATGGTGGCTGTTGGACGAGGGGCAGGCATTACTGGTTTTACGACTAAGGTCCTGCCTTGATGCCAACCCCTCCAAAGAGGAGGGGGCACTCCCGAATTCCAGGACAGCTCTCAGGTCAGCAGGGCCAGAGCCAGCACTGTGAGGGTCTCCAGCAGTTGGCCTGACCTGGACGCACAGTCAACAGTGGCTGTGCTGTGCACACGTGTGATCCTGCCTGCTGTGCTGTGCCGTGTGCCCTGTGCCCTAATCCCCAGCACGCGCACACCTGCTCCTCCTGCGAGCACCTGCGCCTCCCGTTCCCACTGCCTGCTGGGCTCAGCCTCGTCTCTAGTCCAGACAGCTCTCCAACGGGGCGAGCGCCCAGGGTTAATCCAGCTCCCGTGGGCGACCTCCAGGCTATCGCGCTATCAGACAGGGTACACTCCTCTTTTCATCCAATTTTAAGTGATGTGCACAGCAATCTACCTTACTGTGTTACCTTTGGTTCTTCCCTCCCGGGAGGGCGCCCGCCCACGCACTCAGGAGGCGTGGCCAGTGCCCAGCCGGGGCACCCGTCCTGCTCCGCAGCCACTGCGCTGGGAGGGCCCGATGGCCCACAGAGCGCATCGGTGCCTCCATATCGAGGACAGACGACACGTCCCGGCTTTCTGCTAACAACTAACCTGTGCGCAAACATTTGTGTTGTCCCCGGATTCTCCCGGGAATCAGGGCATGGAAACAAAAATATGCGGCCTGAGAATAGTAAGAGCAGTATTTTTAGAGCCTGCTAGTAAGAAATTTCAGTCATCAATTTTTCTCATGTTCAGGTGTTGGTAACACGCTATTACAAGCAGCACATTTACCAGGTGGAGCACACCTAGAGCGTGTAAGCGACATGGAACGGGCCACATGTCCAGTGCCCTCGGCACGCTCTGTACTCTTGCTCAGCAGGCTTCCGAACAAGCATGCAGCACCACTCTGTGCTGAAGCCCACCCAGGCCAGCCCTCGGACAGGGACGAGGGCAGGTGTGGAAACCAGGACGCGCCCCGGGAGCTCACTTCCGTCCTCCTCATGTCACAGGAGAGGGGCAGAGACGCACCTCCCGGAGAGTGGTGCGCCGGGCGGTGCTGCAGCCTGTCTCCGGGAGGCCAGCCTCCCCGACGTCCCCTGCCTGAGTTTTTAATTAGCGGCTTTAGCTCATGTGTCAGAAAATATCTTCTTCCTCACGGCTCCCCTGCCGGGCCTGCTGCCATCTCGGATTAGAGCCCCGGCCAGGGTGGGCAGGGCCTGGCTGAGCTGGACGCTGACACACGTCCACAGCACGGCCCGGAAACCGTGACCCAGGAGCCACTGGAGGGTGCTCACTCTCCCCATACGAGCTCTGAGTGTGCTAGTAACTACACGACATGGAGAAAAGTATTTCCCATGATAGATCCATCAAGCAGAGTACCTGGTAAACAGCGCAAAAATGCGCATGTCCATATACGTTTGCTTACAAAGAAAACTAGCTCTGTGGGTTCTGAGAGAGTCAGAGCAGAAAGGGGCTCTGACTGTACATGGCTTGAAAGGAATTTTTGAAGTGATCACCAAAAAAAAAATGAGTTTTCAAAGGAACACACTGTTTTTCCTTTCTTCCAGTGGGTAAATTTGGTAAGAGTTAACGATGAGCATAGGCCTATTTCGGCTGTCCAAAGGGAAACACCACTAACCATACCTTTGCTTTTGACATTTGATGCTCTCAGATTCAAACTAAAGACGAAGGAAGATTCCAGAAAACTAAGGCAATGTTTTGCTTACGAATCACATCTCCAAGTAACTCACTGCGGATCTCAGTGACAACTTTTCTCGGACACACTACGTGAGTGTCCTCACGACTGGAGGGGTCTGCACGTGAGCTGCGGTCCCACTGAACACACACAGTCGGGCGCTGGGACCTTCGCCGGGCGAGCTGTGCGCACCCCCGGGAGGGCTGGGCCTCCGGACTCAGAGCCACAGCAGCGCCCACGGTGCCCCCGTGTTCGCGCGACTCGCCCGCCGCCGTTCCTCTCCTGCTTCCAGGCCTTCCCTTCCTCCCTGGAACCCCACGCTGAGGCCAGAACGCTGACAGGTCTTCCCCACTCACTTTCCAAATGATCCAAACTCTGCTCGAGGGTGATATGAGAAGCTGAGCAAAGTCCTTTGTTTCACTTTCCTCCACCTGACTCCAAAGGCACGCGGGTCTCGGTCCCGGGAACGTCAGCACAGGAGGGACCAGGAAGCCTCAGGGTTCTCCGAGCTCCTGGGGCCGAGACTCCAGGGTCCCGCAGGGGCTCTCCGGCGCCCAAGCACAGGGGCCGAAACCGGCCCAGGAACTGAGTGTCAGCGCACCTCACAATGTGGTGACCGCTGACACCACACTGGCTGTGGGGCACAGGCTGTGGGGCACAGGCTGTGCGACCCGTGTCCACAGGGCAGGTTCAGAATGAGGAGGGTGTCTGTGCAGCCGAAGCCCCACCAGAGGCCGCCTCCACTCCGGTTTAGGGACGAGTTCCTCCCTGCAGGAAACGGACCAGGCGTCCCGTCCTGGCGGGAGAGGGACTGCGCTTCGCCCGGAGCAGCGCGAGGGCACCCAGCGCCTGGAGCACCTGCCTCCGGGACACAACCGCACTGACCGGCGTGCGGGCAGCACTCACCTGCAGGTCCCGGTGGACCACGCCCACCTGCTGGCAATGCAGGGCGGCCTCCAGGATCTGCTGAGTGCAAGGACTGCATGCAAACACCAGGGGCATCGTTAGTCCCGAGCCGCACGGAGACCGGGGCCGCCGCACGGAGACCGGGGCCGCCGCCGCAGACCGCCGGCGGTGCTGGGACGCCCGCCAGGAGGGACACATTGCTCCTGCAGAGCGACCACCGCCTCAGAACAGGCAGGGTCCTGCCGGCCAGGGGCCCGGCTGGGGGTCCACTTGTCCTGAAAGAGCCACCTTAGAGAGCCCTCGTGTGACCCTGGAGCTCTCTCCCAGGCGCTCTTGGGAGATAAATTAGGACGCAGATACACTTCCAGAGCCGCTGTGCTCCACCCCCGGCACCCCCCCACCCCCCAAGCAGCTGCCCATTCTCTCCCACTGTTTTCTGCCTGTCCCTTCGAAGCCGTCACCTGAGCAGTCGGGCTCAGGTAGGGCCAGGCCAGAGACATTGCGGCCCGGCTGCTCCGCCCCCTGGCGTGGCAACCCCCTGCCTGCGGGCCGGCCGACTCAGGAGCAACGTGCGGGCAGTGTTCCTGCCGCGGCCACCGCGGTCCCGGGGCACAAGTGCACTTTAGTCTGCAGGCGACACGCATCACGGGCCAGGTCTCCGGGCCAGTGTGGGGCATTCGGGAAAACCTGCCCCCAAACCGCCTCTCGGTTCACGTTCACCACTTGGACACGGGGCAGGCGCGCCCCGCACCACCCCCCCCTGTTGCCGGGACGTGGGTCTGGCCTGCAGACAAGCAGCCGGAGAGGCCTCGCGCATTGTCACCTCACCAGCCAGCCAGTGCGGTGGAGGTTGGGAGCAGCGAGGGGCCCCTTCCAGTGCCCGCCCTCTGCCCGTCCCCAGACACACCCCCCCACCCCGAGTCGGATGTGCAGACTCCAGGACTGACCTTCAGGTCCCTGTGCACAATGCCGTTCAGGTGACAATGGTTCACGCTTTCCAGAATCTGCTGTATGCAGTGACTGCAAAGACACAGGGGCAGGAGAAAGGGACAGTGTTGTGAGGCACCTGACCTCTCATTAAACACACACAAAAATTACACCTTTTTCCACTGTTTGGCTCGGCACTGCAATTAAGTAAGCTGAATAAAGCTGACTCTGCTGCTGACGACAGTGGTGTCCGGCGGGGTCTGTGGTGCGCGTCCCCACAAAGCAACCTGGGCTGCACTCTGTCCACCGTGACCACAACCCCAGCACAGGCTTCCGTTCCCGTTTCGGAGAGGAGGTGCATCTGCTCCCATCGTGCTCTGGGAAACTCTCCCGAGGCAGAAGACGTGTGGGTAGGTCCCAGACACACCTGGGCTCTTCCCAGCCTGAGATCACAAATGAGCTCAGGTGCGGAAACAAGAGGACGAAGCGGCAGGAGAAGCGAGGGTCAGACAGAGGGACACGGCCCCCCACTGCCTCGGAAACGCTGCCCCGTGTGGGGCGTGTCGGTGGGAAAAGCAACGTGAGTCGGTGGCGACAGGGGGTCCGAGTCGGCCCCCGGTGCGCGTCAACCCTGCGCAGTCGGGGGAGACGCGGGGGAAGGGCTAGGGGTGGACGGAAACAGACGTGCACAAAGTAAGCCCCTGGCGCACATTTCCATGCGGGTCTACCACCTGTCGAACGCACAGTTGACGCTGTCCTTAGTGCAGCTCCCCTCACGTCAAACAGACCGCTAATTACCCTGGAGGGAGACCACCGACTGGCAGACGTATGGTCCCTGCCCTCTGACCGTGTGGGGCGAGTCCACCGCACAGTGTGCCCGGGCTCCGTGCGCTCAGACGTAGGTGCACACGGCTGCGGTCAGGCCGTCCCAGGTGAGGCCCGCAGTTCAGTGGGGACATGGTCCCCCACTGAGTGTGCAAAACAACAGGACTCCAGAGTGAACTTGAGTGACAAGAGTAAGCGCCTCTAGCTTTCTACAACACGTCTGTCACAAGCTGACGCAGACAGAGACCCCGTGGAGGTCTGCTGAGGGGCACCCGTGAGGCCTCACACCGGCTGTTCCTGCTGCACAGCTCCTCCGAGGGCTGGCAATGGTCTAAGCCACTGGACACTCTTCCCTCTGTGATAACATTCGCTGTGTCCTCTTTTTGAGGAATTTCGCTTCCGCTTCTCCAACCACAGGCACAGGTCACTGAGCCCAATGACTAACAGAAAACAAAGAAGTAAAAAACAGTTTTTGCTAAATGACTGTCGCCACGTTTTTCTAGTGAGAATGGATTGCATTCTTAGCTTCTTGAGGGGCGCAGGACAAGAACAGACTCTGGCAAAGTACTGGCAGAACATGCTCTTTATGCTTGTGGTTGGGAAGAGAACGTTTTCTCCTTCACCCTGTGTGGGACCAACTTTAGAAATGCCCTGCGGCAAACTCCCAAGCCTCCAGGAAGCTCCCCGGGGCCCCTGCTGTCTGTGGGCCTCCGGACAGGGAAACGGTCTCTCAGTGGCAGCCCCGGCCCGCCCACGGCCCCGTGCACGGCCTCGAGGGAGGCGGCCCCTCCCTCACGAGTGCACGGCATTCTCCCTAGGCTGCTCCAAAGCCCTCCAGAGGCCCCAGGAGGACCTGGGGGAGCTGAGCTCGTGACGATTCACTCATCAGAGTGTGAGTGACACTGAGCTTTCTACTCGACTTTGGCAGTGAAATCCCATGAAAACCTCAAGAGCGTACTCACACGCAGAGGAGATGCACAGGGTGCCACAGCAGCGCACTGAAGTGGAGTATGGACCAGAGACAGAGGGAGCTGTGCAGGTGTGGGCGCCGCTCCGGGCAGGGCCGGCAGGCAGGCAGGGCCGGCCCGAGAAAGCCCCGAGAGCACCAGAGCCTCCTCCCAGGGGAGCCCGGGCTCCCGGCCCGTTTGCAGAGTAAGCGCCAGCCACGCAGCTCCGGGAAGGTGCCGAGGGCAGTGCACACCGCCCGGCCTCAGCTCTGCCTGAGCACCGCCCTCCCGCAGCCTTGGAGGTCTCACAGGGGACCCAGTGTTGGCCGTCCTGAACCCCGTCCAGATCGAGCGGGAGCTCCAGGGCTGCACAGCTGACAGTGGACTTCCAGCTGGCGACGCTCTGGGGCGCGTCTGGGCTCCTGCCGCCTGTCTCTGCAGGGGCCCAGGCGCTCGGGGCCTGCCCCCGGGCGTAGCCGCTGGTCACTGGGCATGTGCTGGCTGCGACCCAGGAACCGAACCTGTCATCGTGTTTACTTCTGATTAACTGACACGGAAATTAAAGAGCCTACTTAACTTCCTCTCCTTTGACTCTGCACGAAAGTGACCAGGGGCACACTGGGCCGCCCAGGACCCAGAGGCCAGAGGAGGCCAACCGCAGGTCTCTCGCACTGGCTAAAGGAGTTTATGTCTGCAGTGGAAGTCGTTCCAGTTGGGCTTTAATAAAATAAAATGTGCATTCTGACAACAGACACTAGATACCAGGAAGCTTTAGACCAGATTCACAGATTTTTTTCCCCCAAAGGATCATCCTGGAATCCCGAGGAGAGAAAGCGTCTGTCTTGGTGAGAGGAGGCACAGCCGGCGCTGTGCTCCCCGCGGCAGCGGCAGGGCCTGGCAGCCGTGCGGGGCGGCGGGGGAGGGAGGCGGTGTCCCCGGTGCCGGGCACTCACCTGGCGTCGGCCTCGCTGTAGTATTCTCTCGCCACAATGTCTTCAAACAGTTCTCCCCCGGTAACTCTGCGAAAGGAGAAACAATTCGACACCCACGGTTTTGAACCCCGTTCATACAGAATTTTTGTTTTCAGTTTCGGAACGTGTAGTGTGTTGAAACACTGTAAGAACAACAGTTTCACAAGGGTCAGCCTGGGAGCGTAAACGTCTCCATCTTGTCTGCAGGCCTTCCCACGCCAGACCCGAGGACACAGAGCTCCCTGCACCACGGACACGTCCCGAGACTGATGTGCAGAGAGTGGCCTCGGTGAGACTCCCGCTCAGGTCCCCCGGGGTCCCGTGAGAGGTGGGGAGCGGGGGGCGTCTCCTCAGCAGGCAGGGCAGGCGCGCCTGTGGAGGCGGCAGAGGCCGGCAGGCTGCGTGTCTCTGGGGGCTCCTTGTCACCCGGGAGGGGCGTGTCCTGGCGGGCCAGAGGTGGCCACGCATGCCCACGGCCCTGGCCTGAGCGCCAGTCCACCCGACCACACCGTGTCCTGCAGGTCCCACGGGCTGGCCGGGGAGCACGGTGCTATCTCCCGACCTCAGTCTCACACTCGGGAACAAACTAAGCATGTGTACCTTTCCACTTCCTGCGTGTCTTGCGACGTGTGTATTTCTCCCCGTGCTAAGACACAAAGACGATGACTGTTCCCACAGAAGGGGACTGTGCGTGAGTTCCCGGGCTGCTGGGAAGCCTGTCATTTCACACTGGGCCACGGGCCCTGGTTCATGCCAGAGCCTTTTCTCTGACTGAACTAAGTCACAGAGACACACACGCGTGTGTGTGTGTGCCCCCCCCCACACAGATACCTGCCAACTGCAGAGTGTTTTTAGGGACAAGAGTCTCCGACGTAAAACTGCCGGGTCACCGAGCAGCCACACTTCAGGTGTGGGGCGGCCTCTCGGCAGCCCCCACCCCCTGTCGCAGGGCACTCCCTGACAGGCCACCCTGTCACCGGTGACCACGGCTCCCAGCGACGAGCCTGGCGCCGCTCCAACGGGGAAGGGGTCGCTTCACACTAACGGGAGTCCTTGCCGTGAGGGAAGGGGCCCGTCCCCCTCCGCGGGGAAGGTCGGTGGCCCTGTCCACTGCCCCGGGATGCCTGGACCTCGGTCCCTGTCATTTAAGCAGTGGCGGGACCGGTGGCTGCTCTGGGCTCCCCCACGATCGAGAGCACGGCCAGGACCCCACAGAGGCGCCCGCTCTGTGGCCGCTCTGGCGGAGGAGCTCGGCCACCGTGTCCCACCCACCTCTGCCCCTCGGGGCCGTGCAGCCACGCAGAGGCTGAGCCTCCGCACGCCCACACCGGCTGTGTCCTTCCCGGACACGGGGACCACGCAGGGGCGTGTGCCGGCCGGGCGGCCGAGGGCACACGGCTCACGTCCCCGCTCCTCACCTCACACGCTCACAGCCACGCCCCGGTCTGCGCGCCGAGACGCCGCTTCTGCCCTCTCGGCACCAAGCCGTCACCACGCGGCCCCCCGACCACACGCCCACGTTACACGAGAGGCTTCTCCGCAGGCGGAGCGGGAAGACTCGGAGGACCGCCCGCCGGCTCTCCGCTCTGCGGAGTGCTAACCGCCCGCCCACGGCTCGAGGTCACAGGGGACGACTCCAGCCACCCTCACGGTCGCCGCGGGGCTGTGAGGGTTCCGGGGGGTTCTCACTGCCCCTCCCACCGGGCCCTCCGGCATCGAGGCGCATGGCAGGATCCGTGGGCCGGGGTAGGTGGTTCAATCCACTGCTTTAGTTATGCTTCAGTCTTTAGTTGGCTCATGTTAATTTAAAAAAAAATTATAATCTTGGCTAGTTTTGCTTAGTTGGGAGGTACTGAGGGGTAAAGGGCAGTCAGATTTTATGATGCAGTTTCAATGTGACATCGCAGACCAGGAGCCATACTCCAGTCTTTACAGAAAGAACTGTGTACAGAGCCGGACAGAGCCCTGCACGGACGCTGAAACTCCCACCCCGCCCCCTCCTCTCCCAGCCCCTGCGGCGTCCACAATGGAAGACACGGTCTTCTTTTCCAAAACAAGGGACCGACCTCCTTCCATTTTGTTCTGTTTTAAGGCCAAACACCGTGGCCGTGGTGATTCAACCTGTGTTCATTCAGGTTTCTCTGACACACGCAGCCGGCGCGGACAGTGGCAGAGCACCGGTGCTCAGGGAGTGACTGCGCCCCTGGGTTTGGTTCTCAGCTGTCGGGGCGTTCTGTGCTGCCAGCGTTGACGAGAGGTGAGAGCAAGCACGTAACTGAATGTAAACAGAAATGGCCTTTCGCAGCACATTCGTTAAATCGCTGTAACACGTCAACACTTTAAACGCACCAGAGAGGTGCTCTGACAAAGTTAGCACTGGTTCTTGAAGACCACGTTTTCTTAAACCTGGATGTAACTATTTCTCTAGTCAAAGAGCCAATTAAAGCAATTAAAACCTAAAGATGCCCCGGCATTCCTGCCTCAGCTCACACGGGCTGACGCGCTGCTTGCTGTGTTCGGGGTCAGATGCGGGGCAGGTCTGCCTGAGCCCGGACTCGCTGCCCCGCCCGGAGGACGGGCCCCGGCGGCCGGCCGTGGAGGCTGAGGAGGGCCAGGCGGTCACGGGCAGGCCCTGACACGGTGGGCCCTTACTCCAGGCTGACGAGAGTCAGTTTTCCAGGATCTGCGCGACCTCCAGGAGGAAGGCTGTTTCCATTTGTAAAAGGTGCCAGTCACCAAACACTCAGTGTGAAAGTGGAGGTGAGATGCTTTCCTCACGAAGAGGAAGGAGCTAGAATCAACCACGACGACGCTACGGACCTCCCGGCATGTGAACCACGCTCCACGAAGGGGGAAAGAGGGGTGAGTCACCTGCCAGGCTCCCGCTCAGCAGGGACCCCACGAAGAGAGCCTGGAGCCCGGACGCGCACCGAGCCGGCGGGTGCAGCTCCGGCCTCTGCCCGAGTCCGTGCCTCTCCCCCACCTCGAGAGCTCCGTGTTCCGGGAGCAACCAACGGGTGATGCCGTCAAACATCTGGTGTTGGCCTAGATTTGGTAAGAGCCGCCGGACGTCCCTGGGTAATTGCCCAGCGCTCTGTCTGCAGAACGAGCTCACCTGGGCTCCGCTGAGTAGACGTGCAGGGAGCAACGCCAAAGAGGCCAGGGGCACGCTCGGCCGGCCTCTGAGACACCGGGGGTCCCCGGGGCTCGGCCTCCCGCCCCGGCACGACCTCTCTGGCCGGTGCTGCTGCCTCCGTGAGTCCCGAAACACTCACCTGCCCGTGGCTCTCAGGGAGCGCGTTTTTGCTGCAGACCCCAAATCTAGAAGGACCTGCAGCTTCAGCCTGTCCTTGGTTCCCACGCAGGCCACCTGGCTAGAGTTAGCTGGGTGCCCACACCTAACGCAGCAGGCCGTGTCCAGACGGGCAGAGCCCAGTGCTGTGCAGGGTGTTGGCTGCTCCCCAGGAGGACGTGGGCGGGCAGGAAGGAAGCATGCATGTGAACAAACAAAGCTGCCGGCCAGGGGTCCTGCCTCCGGCTGAGGCAGCGCTGCGCCCTGTGTCTGCCAGTGCACACACGGCGTGTCACTAGCACATGCGACCCAGAGAAAGTGTCCCTGTCACTCCCTCATGCTGCATGCCGCCTGTGTCACCCAGAAGCTTCCATTCAAACACTTGGGCTTCAAGGAAAAACAAGATAAAATATATTGATACTGACACTTGAGAGACTGAATTATAGGAAAACCAAAACACAGGAGCTGTCATTTATGGGACATAAAGACAGAAGGGACTGGCTTAGGCCAGGACTGATGGGACAGAGCGTGTGAGGCCCCCGTGTCTAGGGAGCGACAGGGCTTGTGGGAGCAGTGCCCTACACGGGGAGCAGAACATGCCACTGGGGTGCCGGACAGTGCCCGAACTTGGAGCACAGCCTGCTGCCCGTGCGCCCCCAGCCTCGGCCAGGGCGGAGCAGGAAGGCTCCTGAGGTCAGAGGTACAGCTTTGTTTATGAGGTGGGGGGCCGGGCCCTGCCCGGGGGCAGCGTGGCCCTGCCGTCCTGCCTCCAAAAGCTGGGGCTCGCCACGTGGCCTAGAGCGGGGTGGTCGTGGCTTTTATCAGGGGTTCCTAACCCTCAATGGCTGGGCGGCCGTGCCAAGTGTCCTCCTGAGGGCCCGAGAGTCTCCCTCGTTGGGACAGAGGACCTGCGGTTTTCGGCAAGAGCTCCCTGGCCAGGCTGGGACAGCCCGTCTGTACTGTGTCCTGCCCCCGAGACACAGCCTGCCCTGGGGGAACCGGGCGGGGGGCCTCACGTCCGTGTGTCTGCTCTGCCTGCTGCGCCCGGCTCCCTGGGGAAACCCTGATCTCTCCCGACACCCGCTCCGGGGGACGGCAGCCACCAGGAAGAACCGGCAAACAACCACCGCCTCCTCGGAGACAAGGCAGTGGTCCGTGTGAACGCTCCACCATAGCCCAGGCTGCTCTCTGCCCCGGTCGCTATGAAACTTGACTCCTCCCTCAGGTGCCCAGACAGGTGCTGTCAGACTACTTCCCGCTGGGCCTGAGATTTTAGGAGGAAGTCATCCGGAAGTCTTCCGGTTTCCCTTGTCCTAACCTTGCCCCTGCTTTCCAGCAGCACACTGGACATACGCGCTAACACACGACGGCAATAGCGGAAACACAGTACACAGCTCGGTGAGAGAGAAGTAACACGGTCTTTGTTCACTGAGGACGTGATTGTCTACGTAGAAAATTCTGAAGACAGACCAAAAACTTCTGGTACTAAGCAATCACGACAGATTGCAGGATGCAAGGTCAACATGCAAAAGCTCACTGATCCATAGTAAGTTACATACCTACTATAAATTAGTGAAATAGAAATAAAAACACTCTACCATTTACATCACACCGCCAGAACGAGACACCTAGGCAGGAGTCTAATCAGGTGTGTGAAAGATGTACAGGGCAAAGCGACACCACTCTGACGAGACATCCCCGAGGAGAACCACACACGCGGAGGGGCTTCCATGTCAATGACAGGGAGACTCGTCGTCAAGACGCCAGTTCCGACCTCAACCTGCAGACTCAAAACAGTTCCCGTCACAACCCCAGCAAGGTGTGGAGTGGACCCCGACGAGATGACTCGCAAGTCTGCGTGGAGAGGCCCAGGCCCAGAGCAGCCGCCCGCACAGCAGGGGACAGGTGGGCGGGGGACAGAGGCGGCCTGGCGCCCTGGCCGGCTGCCAAGTGGCAGTAAAGAGACAGACGGCGTGGTGCTGCCGAGAGGACGGGCGCACAGGTCCCTGGGACAGTGCACAGCCCCGCAGGTGCAGCAACTGCTCTCTGACGACAAGGGGCCGAGGCCACACAGCAGAGCAGGGACTGTCTCCCGCACGGGGCTGGAGCCGCTGGATGTCCGTGGGCAACAACAGGAGTCCAGACGCAGACCTCACGCCCTTCACTGCAGTTAACGCAAAACGGACCGAGGGCCTAAATGCAACATGCAAAGCTCTGCCACTTCCAGCAGGTGACCCAGGAGAAGACACAGACGACCTTGGGCCTGGCAGTGCCTTTCCACAGACAGCGTCAAAGGAATACCCGTGAAAGGAGGAACGAACAAGGTGGTTCATGAACAGCAGACACCCCTGTGCTGCAAATGCGGGTGCGAGAGGCGGGGTGCCGGGCTGAGTGGAGGCCCTGGCAAAGGCGGCTGACGGAGACCTGCTACCCCGAGTGCACAAACAACTGCTAAAATTCTGCAGTTAAAAAAATCTGATTGAAAAATGAGTGAAGGGCCTGAAGAGACACTCACCAAAGAAGACACGGGGAAGGCAACAAGCACATGACAAGATGGGCCGCATGACAGGCACTGGAAACCACCGCACAGCTGTCGGCGCCCCCGCAGGCCGGGGTGCTGACCATGTCGAGGGCCGGGGGCCCGCGGAGCGGCAGGAGCGGCAGGAGCGGCAGGAGCCTCCCTCGCTGCCGTGGGACCCGACGTGGCACAGCCGCCGGGAAGGCTGCCGGCAGTTCCTTCCGAGACGAAGCACACGCACACGGCCCAGCGGTGGTGCTCCTTGGCGTTTACCTTTGCAGAGGATCTGAAAACTCAGGTCCACACAAAACCTGCACACGACGTTCATAGCAACTTGATCCATAACCGGCGAATTTGAAAGCAACCGAGAGTATACTACGTAGGCTTTAAGAGGAACAAAATTTGAACAAACTGAGCACCCGGAGCACCCGCCCCATGGCCACCGTGGGATGGGCCCACCACGCCTGTGGAGTCTGGACGCCTGCTGCGCGCCCTGCGGGAGGCAAAGGACGGCTGGCCCACACGGGGCAGGAGCCTGCGGTCGTGTCCGAGGGCGGACGGGGCCGTCCCCCTCCCATGAGCTCACGGCAGCCCGGCACGGGGACGGGCCCGGCATGGGGACGGCGCGCCCTGCGTGTGCGTGTGCTGACTGAGGTGCCCCACGTGGGACTCTGTCTGTGCACCCCAGACCTTCCCGTGCCCCCGACATCCCGGACCCAATGCGCATGGCCCTCGGAGGCCTGGAGACTCTGTTCGGAGCTCTCCGCCCGCCGCAGGCCCACAGCATGGAGTCCTCAAGGAGGCCCAGCCCCTCTCCGACGGGAAAGGGGTGCTGTCCGACTCGGACAGCCCTTCGGTTCCGACACGACCGATGAAACTGTCGGCTCCCCAGGCCGAGGGGTGCAGCTTGAAGGAGCATGTTTTGTATCACAATGATGCCAGAGTTTGCAGAAATGAAAAATACACACAGAAGTACGAAGCATGTATCTTGACCCGGCCTTCCGTGTGGCACCACAGGCTAGGAGGGGCGGGCGGCACCACCCCGCACCCCCGAAGTCCCTCCCCGAATGGGCCACAGTGGGACATTTACTCAATACTTGAAAATCGTGCAGAACACTGCTTCCTCCGAACATTAGGCACAGTGCCCTACACTCTGTAGCTACACAATGTGTATCTAATGAATAGCACATCTCACCTGGGGAAAAACACAAACACTTCAAAATGGAAAGAAAGAAGTACTTCATGTACCAAGGGGTGTTTTTACTAGGGGGAAAATGTCCTTTTTGAACATGCAACAATAGCATTTTTCTCTAATAGCTTGGAATTCTAGGAAATTTCCTAACGCTTAAAAATGGCACCAGCAGTCTCACTAACCCCACAGAACTCTCAGGCCGCAGAGGACAGCGTGGCAGCCTCATGCAAGAGGAAAGGGACTGAGAGCGAGTGCGCCCGGGGTCCCCCCGGTCCCGGAGCCTCCCGTGCTGTGCGCACGACAAGGCTCAGGGCAGAGGCCGTGCTCCGCGCTCAGCCCTGGCCGCTGCGGGACCCACGCCCCAGTCTTCTCGCTCTGGGTCGGCGCGCTTCCCGGCAACCCTCAGCCCGGCCTGCCGACTGGTGCCCCACCGGGGTCCCGCCACTCGCCCCGAGTGCTCCCGTCTCACGCCCTGACCGAGAGAGCTTCACCCTCTGCAGTCACACCGCCGAGGGGCTGGACTAACCCAACCCCGCACTCACTCACCTTCAGACGCATGTTACATGACAGTGTGTTTCTTCCCTGTTCCCCAAACATCATGTAGCAATGTTAGAGACTATCCCTTCCATGAATTTACTATAATTATATACAACTATTTCTCTATTACTGGGCCCTTAAGCATGGACCATAAATTGGAAAAAGCATCTTTAATCCAAACTAGCCTCCCAGGGTGCGGTACTCACAGGTCAAACACCAGGTAGTGGAAGCCCTCCTCCGAGATGCTGTCGTGCAGCCGCACTGAAAGAGAGGGGAGAGAGGGCGACTGCGTTACCCGGGCTCCGGCAACGGACGGACCGCGAGTCTCCCCGCCAGCTGCTGCCGCACCCCCGTGCGGCCCCTGCTGCGTCAGTACCCCTGGCAGCCGGCGGGGGCTCCCCGAGACCCAGGTTTGGGTCCCGGCCCTGGGAACTGTCACCTGTGTGATCACAATCGAGCGGACAAACTCCAACCCCCAGGCGCACGGGCCTCCTGCGAGGTCCACTCTAACACGGCAGTCCCACCCCCTGCAGACGCCACCACCCTGGGCCGGCCGGCGGAGCCTCTTCTGAGTCCCCCTCCAGAAAGCCTTCCAAGGTGGACTCTGCCTCCCAGTGACCACAGGTCGTCACCCGCACCCTGTGGGGGTGGCTGGCTGCGGGCGGGCGCAGAGCAGGCCCGGGCCGGGGCCCGTCTCCCTCCCCTTGCCCTGGGCCCCCAGCAGCCCGGGCCTGGGGGGGGGGCGCAGCGTCTCTTCCTCTCAGTCGCTGACGCTCACAGCCCGGCTTCCTGCCGTGCCTGCAGCGCCCTTCTCACCCCCACACCGAACAGGAACTGCTTTCCCGAGTCTGTGCGTCCACACTCAGCACAGCATGACTGGTCTTTCCAACAGCCATTTTAGAGCATTTACCATCTGAGGTGCTAGGCATGCTTTTGAGGTTTTGGACAGAAATTTCCACCTGGTCTCAGGATACCTGTTTTTATCCCAATGAAACAACAGCTGCGCAGACGGTCCTCCGGGAACCCGAGTCGTGGGAAATGTGTGTGAGATGCCCGCTCCCTTCCTGACACTTGGCCTCCACAGGAGGCTGGAAGTCTGGCTCTGCCCACAGCCCGTCAGCCCAGCACGGAGTGACGGGCGGCTCAGCGGCTCTCAGGAAAGGCGGGTCTTGCAGACACGGCGTCTGGAAACGGTCTGCATTTCGGGAAGCTCACACAATGGCACGTCTACTTAAAGCACTCAGTCACTCTGGGGAACCAGACGGGCTGCCACACCGTGGAAGCCCATGTGGCCGGAAGAAATGAGTCCCCTCCTTCCCACCGGGAGGGTGGGGGGGGGACCCAGGGGCTGTCGAGCGACGCCGGGGTGGGCACGCCAGGTGCCACTGGGGACTCGGGACTAAAGGCTCATCGTAGCTGGGACACGAAATTCTTAGTATGACTGCCACTGCCACCTTAATAGTTGGGAAGAGTCCTCATTTCATGGTGAATTATTTTTTGGACGAGTCAAGAGTTGTTCAGATGCAAACTGGATGATCAAACACACAATACACTGTTTCTGGGTTAAACTAGTTTCACAAAAGCGTTTGGCCAGCACATGACAACAATTAGAGATGAGCCACTTGGACAAGTGCACTGCTTCTGCCCCACCCAGTCCCAGGGCGGTCTCCCGGCAGCCCAGCCGGGCAGCCGGCCGGCGGACCAGTGGACTGCAGTTCTGAATGAGTGGCGTCCCGGATGCAGCAGAAAACCCAGCACCGTCTTTGTCTGGATAAAACGCACACGGTTATCTCCCTTGTTCCTCGTGGCCCCTGCTTCCTGCCACTCTCTTCTTCAGATGAAGACCCGGAAAAACGGAACGAAGAGGAAGGCCAGTTTCATTTGCTGACCAAACCACACGGTCCAGGCCCCACACGGGTGCTGCACACGGCCTCAGTCACCTGGGGGGGGGGGCGGTTGCTTCCTCTCACAGCTCTGAGCGCCCGGCAGCGCCCTCGAGCCCCTGGAGCCAGTGTCTCTCGGGCCCGGACACGGCCGATTCCTCTGTGAGCCCTGCCTGGCCGTGAAAAGCATCTGTCTTCCAGACTCTGTTTCAGACTTTGTTTGGGTTGAAAGTGTGTTACTTTTACAAATCAGACGTTCATTATTCCTTATAAATAACTGTCCATTCAGGTTTTCTTTGAAAGATTTTATTTACTTATTTTTAGAGAGAGGGGGAGAGAGAGAGACGGGGAGAGAAACATCAGTGTGTGGTTGCCTCTCACACGCCCCCTACTGGGGACCTGGCCTGCACCCAGGCGTGTGCCCTGACTGGGAATCAAACCGGCGACACTGGTTCACAGGCCGGCGCTCAATTCACTGAGCCACACCAGCCGGGGCTCCGTTCATTTTTACACCAAAGAAACGACAGAGGTTCTGCAGACCACGTGTTAGCAGAGACCCCAGCAGGGCCAGCACGAGTGGTGCGGCGGAGGCCAAGACGCACCCCACCCCACCCCTCCGGGCTCAGCCCTGTTGCCGCCCCCAGGGCCCCCAGGCGCGCACTGGGCTGCTCGCCCTGTTTCACAGCGGGCACCTGCTGCGGCCACCGCAGGCCTTATGCGTCGAGGTCCTGGCTGGTTCAATCAGCACATGTGTGCACCGGCCTCCGCCACGAGAGGCACCGCCCGAGAGAGAAACGCCAGTCTCCACAGCTGCTGCCCTTGTGACAAAGCCGGTCATTTCTCGAGAGAAAACTCGTCCCACAGAAACCAGGATTCCGAGGAGGCGGAGGCAGACCAGCGCACGCGCCCTGTTCCTTCCAGTGCGCCGCGCAGCACCGGTGCAGGGGCTCCCTCCCAGGGCGCTGCGAGCTGGCGGAGGCCGTGCCCGTGCAGCGTGAGCGCGCTCTGCTTCCGAGACCTGCGAGCGGAACGCAGGCAGGGACAACTCAGGGAGTTCTTCGGTGGCTACTGCTGCCAAGGTCCGTGGTCTTACAGCGTTCACACTTCCCTTTTCTTCACCTGTTTTGGCCCAGTGTGCTGGGAATCTGAACACAAAAACTCTGGGGGTTTGGCTCAGCGGGAGAAGGCAAACAAAGCAGCTGGTCAGGCAAAGAAACTGCAGTCTGTTCTCACGTCAGATGTTTGAACACAAACTGCTGAAGCTGCATAAGGGATACGTATTTTGACAAATACTTAGCAATTGGTCCCACTAATAAATGACAAATGAGCCACTATTCGGTACTCAAAAATTAAAATAACTTCAATATCAGGAATAAAACCTGTTTTTTAAAATTAAATTTATTGGGGTGACACTGGTTAATAAAACTTTAAGTATTTTTTCCTGTAGTGTAGTAACAAGAAAACCTTTTTAAACTTAATATTAATGAACATTAAATTATATTTAAAAGCAATATTGCTTATACTTAAGAAAAAGGAATTAAGAGCTTTTTGGAAAAAAGAGCAAATATAACCACAACAAGAAAACTCAGTGGGGAACCCATATGAACTTTGACAGTATTCTAGAAGCACATAAGGAAGTCTACGGACCCCAAGACCCAGAGGCTCTGCACAGCAGGGCGCAGCCCGGGGGCGCGGTCTGCCCCCGGCGCAGGCCAGCCCCACGGTCTCCTGCAGGCAGTTCGAGTCCCACAGCCTCTGCTCTGAGCGGGGCAGCGCGGCCCCGCCAGGACGCCTGGCCGCCAACTACGCAGCAAACCTGGCCCAGGGACATGCTTGGGGCTCGGCGACAAGTCAGAGTGAGGACACGGAACACAAGCATCAAAGGCGCCGTATGTTAAGGGCCTCCGTGGGCTGTAAAGCTATGAACGCACAAAAACACGCTTTTATAAAGCCAGGGACCTCCTCGCTTGCCCACACCCGCCTGCTCGCTGAGCCCAGCTGCGAGGTGACCACCCAGGCAGGTTCTGGGCGTTCCCACCTGGAGGCCACATCGCTGCAGGTGCCACGGCTGTGCAGTCCCCTTGGGGGCGCGCTTCCCGAGGACGCGCTGGGACGGCCGCACGAGGACACACGGGGACGCAGGGGGAGGGACACCGACGCACCGACAACAGCGGACGGCGGGCCCCACGCCGGCGGTCACGGCCCCGCACAGTGTCACTTGCAAACCAGTGAACGCTGCATCCGTAGAAATCAGACACTCATTCACTTCACCAAACATAATCAGATCACACTTCTGGGGAGACTGATGTCACGGTGCACTTGGCCACGACTGCGACCGTCACCTCCAGGAGGACTCTAGCACTGCCCGCCGTCCCAGCGTCCCCGAGGCCCGACGGCCACGGGCCAAGGTCCGCACAGGCGGGGCGCCAGGCACACCCCCCTCGGGGGCGTCTGTGCAAACGGACATGACCATGCACCGGCCGGCACTGTCCCTGCCAACGGGGGGCCGGGCATGGGGCACCACGCCCAGGGCAGGGCGTGCATCCCTCAGAAGTTTGAGTCGTCACGATTTTGAGAATTCAGTTGAAACTCACCATCACGTAACAGTTGACCTGTGTTGGACGGTTTCTGGACAGAGTCTCTGCTTCGAAGGCCGGACCGGAAGCACAGGCAGGGGGCAGAGGGCGATGGGGGGAGGGGTGTGGGGTGTCCCTGGCCGCCGTCCAGAGCGGTCACATGGCAGCGGCCCTGGCAGCTGCCACGCTCCCACTGAGGGGAGGCAGTTGGGGTCGGACACTGTCACCCAGGCCCACGGGACAAACTGGAAAAGGGACCTGAGGCTCTTCCGAGAGGGGACAGACGGAGGCAACCAACCCAGCCCCGGAAGGAGGGGGAGAGAGGGTTTTCTACGTCTCTCTGGGGCAGGGGGAGTGTGTGTCAAACCCACTGTTTTCACACGGGGAGGAAACAACAGCAACGCCGATCCCAAGAGGACGCCGGCCCGAGACCAGTGGCAGCGATGGCTCCCGGCCAGGCCGTCGGCCTCCAAAGGGACACCACGCCCAGGGGCACGGCTGGGACTCCTGGGGAGCCTGCCGCACAGTCGGCCCTGCGCTGCTTGTGTCCACGTGTCCGCTGAGCAGACACTCCTTGAGCACCCAGGTGAGCCTGGGAGCTTTCCTGACAGCCTGACCTTGCTGCCCCATCTGGGGGGCAGCCCAGGTGACACCCCCGTGTGCCGGGAGCAGAGACGCGCTGAGGACTGGGATGCAGGGTTGGACGCCTGGGGCTCAGAGGCCCACCGTCCTCTGCCCAGCCCAGGGGACCTGCCTGCCCTCACGAGACAGGGCACAGTCCTGGGCCCGGACATGCGGAGCC